CTTTTTGTCAATAAATCCTAAAGGCCAAAAAGGCCAGAACCAACAATGTGTCCATCTTTCAATGCTTTCTGACAATGTCTGTGGCACTGAACCCCCCACCCATTCATTTCTGCTGAAGACATAAATCTTTCTATCAAAACTGTATTATTTTCTTTAAACTGACATGGGCAAAAAGTCCCTAAAAATGCTCAAAAACTGATATTATAAACATCATGACAATTGGGCAAACTTCAACTGCTGATGGAAGTCAAGTGATATGATTGAAAGCTCCAGAATAACCACTAAGTGGACTTTGTGGTGAGATTGTTTTGTCTACTACTGTTTCCAGGCTCAAATATGATCTTTCAGTCTCAACAATAACAGATTTCTTATTTTTACAAAAAGTTGGGGACTATTTTCATCTGTGGAAGAATACACATTTGGTGCTCTAGTGAATGTTTACAGCACCAGGATTGTGTATTTGGGACTGAGCTAAAATAAACAGTGTCCATATTTGTGGTAATGGAGGAACATGTCACTGAGTGCAACAGTGTGGCTCAATGGTGTAGTAACAGTAGAGCTCCATAGAGGGATATGCTATATTATATACTGCTACAGTTATAAACAGTGAACAGTCAATAACCCAAAGATAAGCTCAATAAATAACTGAATAAAATGTAAAATAATATAATTGATTATCAAAATTAATTTTCTGTCCAACGACCAATCGATTAATTGTTTCAGCTCCTCTTACAATATTGCCAATGTTATTGTTTAAGCAGCAGTCATATTATATTAGCTGCTGAAGGAATGCAGTAGGGGAGGAAATTCCAGTACTTCAACTCTATCTGTAATGTATCTGGAAATGAAACGGATGTTGTTGTTTCTGCCTAAATGAAGAGTCATGGCTTCACTAATGCATCTCGTTGAAAAGAAAAACAATCTGCTCATACTTCGCTGGCAGCAGTGCTTGGGTTCGATGCCAATGCTCTCCGTGTGTAGAAAGGTGGTGCATAGAAATTATGTTGAAGAGCTGCGAGAAGCTAAAATGGCCCACATGTGTAGGTGCTCACGTTTGCTGTAGACCTGGTGTTAGGTGTCTTTGTGCCATAGTTAAGAACACCTGAGAGGTGTAGCCTTCAACTCAGCTTCAGTAGGGGACTGCATTTGGCTGATTGGTGCTGAGTGTGACCTGTAAGTGCACCACAGACAAGCAGGAGTTTACAAGAGAGTCAAAGCCATTAGTGACACATGTGGACACTTAACTGGAAATGTCCTACTCAGCATAATGAGGGTGGAACACAATGCTGCTGCCGTGACAGCACACAGCATCCACCAATCACACATGTAACGCTCTCCAACACTGGCTGACTGTCAAAGTATGTGGGACAGGAATGAAAAGCAGCCCAACCATAAAACTGTTGTGACATCAAGTCTTCATGAAAGACAGATGAATGATCGTCTCTGATTTGTGTCAGATGGCCACTGCTGCAATGCTCACAGAGAGCGTGCAGCGTGAAATGTTACCAGTCCCACATCTGACACGGGGCACTGAGACCGATCCCCACTGCACATCACCTCTAAACCTGAACACACAATGATCCAACGTAAGTTTTTTTTTATTATTAGGCACACCTAGCTAAAACAAATCCAGTTTAATTCAGCAGTCCTGCAATAACTTCTGCGTTCATGACCGTGTTATTGTTCAATTTTTGTCTAAACTGTTTTAAAGCAGTGCTGATTCAGCTTTACAGTGATTCTGGAGGCTGCAGTTTGTGACAGAAGTGTGGATTATAACGTTTTTCTACCTGATTTCAACTCGACTCTAATCACTTTTGGTACCAGATACTTCTTTTTCCACTGCATGGTACCCCGTCAATGGCGTGCCATTACTATAGCAACAATGCACAAAGCTATCGTGACGTCATCTTCAACACGACAGGATACTGAAGGTATGCGAAACAGAGGAACACCAGCACTTCCTCAACTGACCACAGCATGGTTTCATGGGTTGTACATACTACAAGTATAGTACAATAACTAACAGAAGTGTAGCTGGCTACAGTGAATGTTTGGTATTTTTGCTTTAACAATGACTAAAACAATTATTCATCATAAGTTGTCTGTCCACTGACTTATCATTGCAGCTCTAGATTTCATAACACCACACTTGAGACATATTTGTGACTGCGAGACAATGACTTTCTCTCACTTTTAGTGTGTAAATATGTTGAATTGTGTTGCATTATACTGGGAGGAGTGTTAAGTATTCATTGTACCCTTACTGTAATAAATGGGGTGGAGAAAACATTCGGGACACCGTCCAGTGGAATCTAAAACAACAAAACCACAAACCACAGCCTAAATAATTACCACAATGTTGAATCAACACATCTCTCCAATAAAACTGAAAATGATTACCTTCATTAACATAGGATTTATTGCAGGACTATTTTATTAGGGTGCATTAGTTTAACAAACTGAGTGTATACACCACACAACGTCCTCTATTAAAAGAAGTAGCCTACTGAACACACCACAGAATATTAAATCAGAGCCAGTCTGCCCCAGCCAGGATCTTTTTTTTTTAACAGCCACGTAGTCAAAAATACTAAACAAAAAGTACATTCTGAGTATCTAACGCAAAAACAAACATTTCTTCACCACCCACTATAATTTAGCCTCCCCTCTTGCAACAGCAGAGCAGTCTATAATTTTCTCCTGCTTCTGGTTAAACAGACAAGACAACAGTCTTTTCTCTGGATCTTAACAGTCCAGTGTACAACAAGATTGTCCACTTGGTTACATAATAACACACAACCTTTTAATACTTGTATGCGCGAGGCCCACTTGGTACCTGCTGACTGAAACTAATGGTGCAGGCTCGTTAAGATAACACTGGGTGGTAACAGGTGTAGATTCGCTGCACTGAATTCATTCATAAACAGCGCAAACACTTGGTATAACAGTGTAACATCGTCGTGCTAATGCCCACGGAGCGCGGCTCACTGACAGCTGCCTCAGTCAGCACATTTAGCTTCATATCCCACCGCCAAAAACACATCGCTTCTCGCCAAACTGTGGAATTGTGAAGGTCTTAATTTAATCCCACACGCTACGTCTTTCGACAAATGTCGCATACAGTGGAAAGTTTTACCGTTCAGCTCGGTTGAGTCCGTCAGAGATGTCCGGCTGCTCCCTCTCCCTCTCTCGGTACATCTATTTGTATATCTGTCCAGTATAATGGTTTAGTCTTGTGAGCGTTACACGTCACTTCCGGACACTCTGGTCCGTTCACCTGTAAACACCAGCGTCCTCAGAGCTCGTCTATGGAGAAGATGACTTCAAGAGCGCCTGAAAAAGCGCATGTATTATACACCTACAACAATCCACAGCACTACACAAATGAAGAAGGTATTTACAGCACGAAAAAAATTAAATGAAGTATGAATGGGTGGTGTGACAGCTCCAGGGACAACTCAACTAACAACCAGATAAATAAAAAATCAACATATGCGATAAGTCAGTTCTTTATTTGACAGCTGTGTGGCGCTGTTTGTGGTATCATGGAATAAGAGCAAAGTGGGAGCTCTTACTTTAACTCCTCTCTGAAGCTGTGGTTAAAAATAGCCCCAGTATCATTTCAATGGCGCTGCACTGCCGGGATTTACCGGACAAATAATAATAACGACAGAAACGTCAGAGGAACATAGGTATTTTATTATTAAATAAGAGTGCGCACAGAGTAGACTCAGTTTAATCTTTAAAAAAAATGAACGTCTTCATTCAAACGAATATTGGGACTTTGCAGTCAGTTCACCGATTATACATGAATATCACCGTTTTTCTGATAGGTGAGTGATCGATTTATCTGAAGGATCAAAAACAGGGTGTGAAACCGATACTGCACTATGTGGCCACTTCTGCCTGAACCAATGAGCGCTCTTAGAGGCTGCTCCGAAACTGAAGGCGACCTGGCTGCATGCTTGGCAGGTGGAGAGAACCCCTTTCGAAAATTAGAGCAAATAGCAGATATGTATGAATGAGTTCACTGCACTGAGAGAAATCCCAGAAGTGTCCAGGTTGTGTTTAACTTCTCTGCAGAACAAGGTGAGAGAACAGTGGCAATACTCAACTCAATTTGTAGTAAGCAGCATTTTAATGATTGTAAAGGCACAGAGTGCTTGATTTTGGAAAGTTTATGATTATGACATAAACTGCAACATACATCAATACCTTGACATGGAGGGAAAAAAGTGAAAGTCCTGCATTCACAGTTTTATTCAAGTAAAAGCGTAAATGTATTAGCAGCAAAATATATAAAAAATAAAAGTACTCACTATGGTCCTTTTCAGATGTAGAAGTCCTATATTGGATTATTATCAATGATACATCTGCTTGTAAATAGCATTTTAATATTGCAGATGCTCCAGATGTAACTACTTTATATTGTGTTGGGCATTTTCATCTGTAACAATGCATCATTTTATATAAGATAATGGTTTGCATTTGTAAGTTTTGTGATTAATACACATAGTGAGTACATAATGGCACATTCCACTAAGTATATCGATAATGATGTCGTGTTGTGTACTGTCAGATAAACATAGTATAGTAAAAAGTACAATATTCCCTCTGAAATATAGAAGTAGATGTGGAGGTTGCAAAAAGGGGGGAAACACAAGTACAACTACTTGAAAATTGTACTGTAGTACAATTTGAAGTATTCATTCTCATTGTACACATATGAATTCTTATACATGTATTAAGTGAACAACACAGTGTGTCAGTTTACTGGCAAATGTTGTTTGTGCAAAATGTTGCAAAATCACCCAGTTCAGTGTACTGTTCATTATGGCTTTACAGCATCTTGTCTTCAGTCATTTTGTCAAGTCAAGTGCTTTCAGTGCAACAGAATTGATATATGTCAGCTTTAAAAAAAAAAAAAAAAGGCCACATTTAACAGGCAGAAATAAACCTGTGTATGAAGAGACACATTTGCAGCTACAGCAGAGTGTAAATCAGAACTTCCTGTTGTGCAGCTCAGCAACCTGCCGCAGAGAGTCTCTTTGGTTTGAGCCAAGTCTTGTTTTGCTGCTCACCTCCTGCCACTGAAGAGAGCCGTGGCTGCTCACCATCTAAGAAAAAGCAGGGGTAAGTGATTATATATTTATTATAGGGAGAATTATGACCTGAATTTTGTCCATTAACATCACCGAAAAGCAGAGGAAACAAATCAGTCATGGTCTTCGTGTACTTGTAAAATAATGGATGCTCTACATATTTTAAAACCATAACAATAACAATAATGTTCTCACCATATTGTTGACATCTACCATCACCTGGCCTGTTCTGCTCAGGTGAATGTTAAGCACAGTGGTTTGCACCCAGGCATTATCTGTGTTCCTGCAGTCATCCACATAACCCTCAAACACCTGAAACACAGCAACAAGTTCATCGATGTCAGCATCGACAAGCATTTTTAGAATTATTATTCATCTTATTCATCTCATTTGTTAACACTAATCAGTAAAACAATTTCTGATCCCATATACACTGTTGCTCATAAAGTTGGAATAAAATATTTTTTGCCTCTTTCCATGAAATGATTGTGACCATGTGATTTATTCTTGACAGATAAAGTGTTTATCTTCTCAAAACTTTAGTAGTCAATCTCTTCCAAAGTGATTACGGATGCATTTAAATAGGAATAAACAGAGGATTGTGTCTGAAAACAAAATTATTCCAACTTTATGGGCAACAGTGTAGATATTTAGGCCCACAAGGCCTCTCAGGTCATCAGATAAAGGGCTCCTAGTTGTGCCCTGCTTGTCTTGTTGTCAAGCTTTTGCTGTCATAGTTCCTAGATTATGGAACAGTTTTTCTCTTGGGGTCAGATCAGCAAACTGATTATACTTTACTGTAAATCTCATCTCAAGACCTAATTAATGTCAAAATGTATTTAATTAATGTTTCCTTGACCAGATTTGTTCTTATTCCTTAAGAATTCTGGCTAGTTTTTGATTTGACCAAAGTGTTGAAAAGACTCACCTTTGTTCCCTCTGATACTTTTGCATTTATCTTTTCATACAGTGTCTTTCCCATGGTTCTCTTAAGCGTCACTGGCAGCTGATCAGCAGATTGGACAGGTCCCTGAGGGTTGAATTTGGAATCTTTTTATTGAACTTTTCGAACATATGTATTTGCTCGTTACAACACGACACAAATCACAACAATCAATGTCACAGCTCAGCAAAATACACCAAGCCCAATGTGCAATAAGACGTGCCCGCACACAGACGAACAAAACAAAGCAACAGAAAAGAAAAGAAAAAAAACCCTGCCAAACGTGAAATCACACTGCGGTTTGTCAGGTTTTTTCTTGCTGAGAGGTAGTGGTGTGCAAAGCGAACCAAATTACACAAAACCTGCTCTGTCTCAGCCCATACTGGTCCATTATTGTGTTAAAATTGTGATACCCAATAAACCACCATGTGAATAAAAGGTTTGGCAACGCCAATCCCCCGTCTGCCTTCTGTCTCTCCACATATGATTTCTTAATCCTTGAGATGGATTTGTTCCAGATAAAAGATGAGATGCTCTTCCCCAGATTCTGTGATAAAACGGGTACTGTTTGAAAGAAAATCATAAACTGTGACAATCTTGAGTTTACTCTAGCAGCTAGAGAAATAAGGAGTGATGACCATCGATTTAGCTGGACTCACCCCTGGTAAAGCCAGGGTTCCTTGGCTCTCGTCCCAAACTGCCAGGTACTCCAAAACAGATCTCTCGCTGTCACGCCAGCTAAAAATCAATTTTCAAAATCTCAGATCATGCCATGTGACACAGTGGTAGTGAAACAACCTCTTTCAAATGCACTACAAGGACATGAGGTGACCTACCGTGTAACAACAAGGTCTATATTCAGATTTGGACCCAGTTGGCTGAGTGCACCTTGTCCCCTTAGGCCAGTCCGCCCTCCTGGGTTTCTGATGACAGAGAAGACAGATATCAGATATCAGACATCAAGACATGCTTGGAAGGTTTCTGTAAGTACTATTTGATGGCTTATGTATCTTATCTTGTCTCATACCTGTATTTATCCAAGTCCTCTGGTTCTGATCTGTGTTGAGAAAGAGGATATGAAAGTTAAGGGATAAGGAGGCTGCCTTGTAATTAGAGAGTGGACCCAGGGTTAGGTTTAGAAAACTGTAATTACTGTAGCTTTTCAGTTTAGTTAAAAAATGTCAAAATACAACCTGAAGCAGGTATTCATCGGTCACTGAGGACCATTCATTATCTGCCATTTGATTCATGATTGGTTGTATGAATCATTATTTTAACAGTAAAATTGTTTTTTTTCTTGATAAAAACACTACTTATGAATCAATCATCTTGGCTGCAAATATCAAGCTGTATAGGAACAAAACATGATGTATGTTCTTCTCATAGTCAGTGCATACCTATCCACATGGTCCCCACTGTCTTCATAATAATCCGGCATATATGAGCTGAAGCTGACCTGAAAAAAGAGGACATGAGAACAAACAAATAAATTCAAACCATCTTTTCAGGCAGCTGGTGATTTTGTGGTGGAAATATAAGTGAAATACCTCCCACGGCACTTTCTCCTCAGGCACAGGGAAGCGTGTGATCTTGCTGTTCGGATAGTGAAACTGACGAGCATTCACGTGGAAACCAACCTCGTTCTCTGACATATTTCTCAGAGTCTCAGCGGTCTCATCTGTTGTAGTTGATGCTGCAGGGAAGAATTAAAGTGAGTGCAAACAAAAGAAAATTTGACACAAAATATATTTGCAAAATAAAAACAATATGTAAATTAACAGTAATGGTGAATGAGGAAGTTGGTTCCTGACATATTGATTGTGCTTCTTTTGTGGCAAGACCCTGAGATTTCAGATAATCCATAATCCACTGCAGGGCTCTGGTTGACTGAATGACCTGATGAAATAAAATAAAAGTGGGTCAAATACTCTTGATGACTGCTTATACAACACTGAAGATTAAGATTATTGATTATTCACACGGGGCATCTGGGACTAAAATTCAACAAACACACATGGATGCATCAAGAAGTGTGCCATCATCACTTCTCTGCATCGTGCCTTACTCTTAACTTACTCCTTAACTCCTAACTTATGTTACAGACACAGATGCAACATTAGTGATCCCAAAAAAATCAGGTTACCACCTGCTCCTCTAGTCGACCCATTCTTTTCAACATGCCATCAAAGCTCGACTCCTCTTCCCTGTCCAGCCGTTCGGTTATGGTGGTGACCCTCAGGAAACAAACAAGCAGGGTATGCCATTCGTTTGGATATCACTCAGACTGTTTGATGTTACATGCTCATTATATTTAGTCACAGTAGAATTTGAACCTTATCAAACCATAAAAACATAAGACTATGTTTCTGCATTAAAAGATTGGTTTAGATAAGAACATTGATACCACTCACGTGTCTGTCCATTAAATAAGAAGCTATAGCCAGCAGCTGCATATCTTATTTTAGCTCATTTTTAGCTTAGCTTAGTTTATCTTAGCTTCTTTATCTTCTTTATCTTAAATTAGTTAAGCTGAAGTGTGGCAACAGGCAACTTAACTCAGTGCAAAGGTAACAAAATAATCCCTGTTTTAATCTTTATGTGAAGATAATCTCGTTTACTAGCCTATTTAAGTCTTGGCAGGAAGGTGAATAAGGGTATTTCCCAAAAGGATGATCAACGCCTTTAAACCTGCTTTAATTGATTTTTGTAACCATTTGAGGGCAGTGGAACAAGAACATGACACACACACCTTTTAATTGTAGCATGTTCCTCCTGTAGAGGAATTTCAGGACCGCAGTCATAGGACCCTATTTTTTCATGACACTGCCACCTACTGTCGCTTGATAGAAAGTAGTATTTGGGTGGTGTCATTGCCTGATCTCTACTGGAAACCTAACCCTGACCCTGACCCTGACCCTGGCCAATTCCTACAAATGCAGTCCTTGGACAGAGGTTGTGAAACCGCAGACTCCTCTACTGCAGGAACATGATATTGCCTTTTAAGTGGACAAAGTGAACCTGTTAGCTAATAGTTGGCTATTTACACATCCTGCAGTAACAGACCAACATTATCTTTTTTTTGGCATTATTCCCAATTTTAGCCCGACATCCTCTCTCCGTTCGGCTCTCTTTTGGTCTCCACTCGCTCCTGAGGGCAATATCTGGCTTTGTAGCTGCTAAATGCTTCACTGTGTTCAGCAGCTGGGCACTAACTTTTTCTGTCTGCTGTTTGGTGCTGGGCATGTAGCACACATTGGATATATGTGGCAGTTTTTTGCTGAAAACATCTTCCTGCTGGAATCAGGCTAACAAGAATCATGAGAGTGACCGAAACAGTAAATTTGCAGGGCTGAGCTGAAATGCAGAGAAGAGTGGTAATTCACAGTAGGTTTGTCTCTTGGAATGACATAATTTTACATCCACATAGCCATTTGACCCATTAATAATACAAAATATTGATTAGATTAGTTTAAAGTTTAAAGTTTGAAGTTTATTTCCAACCACACTCCATAGAGCTGTGGGGTCAGGCTCCCCCCAGGAAGGGTTGCAAGATACAACCAAGGGGTCACAAGACTATTAATGGGAAAAATCACCATGTTCATCTTTTCTGACTTTTCTGTCATATTTTTTTGGTGAAAAATACTGGAGAGTTTTATCTCTGCCAGTCTCAAAAAGGCCAAATGACACAGTTTGAGAAGGTAAAAATCACACTTTGTTTGCACTGCTCAAAACTCAAAGACATATTAAAAGTGTAATAAGGGGTCTCACATATGCAGCAGTTCCCTAAAGGACTGTTTTGCAGCCACACATTACTACATTCCTGTGGGATTTTACTTTTGGGCTGTGTCAAGGATGCGTCGCTCCGTGCTCTGGCTCTGCTCTCGCTGTGTGGACAGCAGGTATCTGTCTTTCATCAAGGCCTCCCAGGACAACAGCTCCTCATCCTCTGTCAGCGGAAGCTTATTTTCTGAAAAAATGTCACATGCTTAGTGTACCTTACCTAATACTGTACATATACACATGCACATACACACACACAAACTCCCATTTCAGACACACTAGGATTTAGTTAAACCAGGAAGGGGATATTTCAACATGTTTAACACCCTGAAGTAAACTGTATGTGAACACCAAAAATTTGAACATCAGGCATAAAAAATTCATCAATGAGGTGTCACTGGACGGCTGGAGAATTATCAAGAGGAACATTAACATCCAACGTTTGAACTTTTGAAGCTCAGTAAAGGAACAAATTCAGAAAACTATAATTATGAATTTGACCTAAAAAACCACAAGGTCCAACTTGTTGATTCTGCAGATGGAGTTGCTCTGTCGTGATGCAGATGCTTTAGCTGTTGTCAAGTGAAGCATGGATTCCGCTCATGTGATAACAGGCAGTTGTACATGGAGGGAGATTGTAAAACCCACTACAAAAACATTCATATAAAAGCTCTCAAATGAAAAAAGGCTGTTTTTTCCAAAGCAGATGTGGAAATACAACATCTTTTCTTCACGGACTTGAGTATAATGGCAATAATTTAGCTCATAAATGCACCATTGTTGTTGAAAAATGAATAATGACAGTGTATGAAAGTTTTTGAAAGGGTGCCGAAGCTTAAAAGAGAGAGGAAATCCGCAACATCTCATCACGAGGTCTAGTTTCAGAAAAGGAAGAAATAAATAATTCAATACGTACTGAACTCCCTGTATATACTGGGAGGATTGCGCAGCACCAGTTTGCTGATGAAGAGGTAAAGATGGCTGAAGATGATAAAAGGTGGAGGAGCAGCTGGGCGGCTGTGGTACTCCTTAATAAGCTCATATCTTTGAAACTTCCATATTCTGTCCGTGTTGTCCTGCACTTCCTGGAACGTAAAGCTGTGGAAGAAAGCAAACGCACACAGAGGATGTAAAGTAGTGAAAACAACCAGACGTTATCATCTCAGCTTGCTGTAACATCATGTTGCACTAAAAAGCTCAGGCTCAAGAAATGATGACTGACTAAAGACAGTGATGCCGAGGAGAACTCACTTGAAGATTGCTATGAGGAGGTTGAGCAACAGTATGTTGGCAAAGAGCAAGTAAACACAAAGCATAATGATGGTGAGCCACTCGGGGAAGGCTGGTGTTTGGTTTTCATTAAGCACGGGACACTTGGGCTTCAGAGGGTCGGTGCCATTCATGCTGCAGGAATCTATGTTAAATGCCGTATCTGCAGAGGGCGAAAAGATCTTAGTGATGATATCTGAAATAAACAAATATCTTAAATGTCAAAAGTGTTAAGAATGTATCCCTGACATACTGAAACTAAAACATTATATCTGTAAAACTTGATTTACATACACAGAAATAATTAAAACTACATGTTTCAACTGCAAAGAAAACAACGTTCTGTATCTCCACTCACAATCAATATTAGTGGGAAAATTCCCAAATATGATGAGGTATGGCTCGTAAACTGCCCCACGGACAATCCAGTCCAGCCGATTGTCATTGTGGATGAGAATCCCTTGTTTGGCCACGCCGTACGCCACCACCCAGATACTCAGTAGGAACATGAAGAAGAACATATCCATCATCTGGAGAACAAACATATCAAGTCACAAGCTAGAAACTCTGAAGAAAGGGACACATCTGATTATTGTGACTGGTGACATGTAAAGCATGTACAGTAGTGACTTTATTGTCTGGTGGGTGACTTTTACTGAGCTATAATTTTAAATGTAAAACTTCAGAAAGTTGTTTTCGTCAGCCTCCATGTCACCAAAAACTACAGCTCTTTACCAGATTATCTACTTTGCAATGACAAGTTTCAATATTTAAAATGTCGCACTGCTGCTCCAGGTATAACCTCTGAATAAAGAATAATATATTCTTTTGAAAATCATGAAAGGATTGATTGAAAGTTAGTTGAATGCATGATTGAAATCCAGTGTGGTAACAGACAGTCCAGCTGCAACACAAAGAGCACATTTCATCTGCAGACGCCAGACGGAGGCGCAGTGAGGCAGAGGCCTCTTTTTGTATTAGATAAAAGGTGTTTTGGAGCTTAGCATTTTGTGTTCTGCAGGCGCTCCCACAGTACATCATGTCAGCATTCATCATATTTGAATGTAACCCTCTCACCATCCTCCTGACTATGATGATTTTGGGTCCCAGAGTTCGACTGATAGTGAAGATGGCCATGAGACGGAGGCAGAAGACCACAAAATCGATGCAGAGGAGGACTTTACCCGCATAGAACAACTTAGATGTCAGCCTGAAATAGAAAAGCTTAGTGATTCACAGATAGCCCAGGAGGTGGATAGCACTTCCATGGCCTGAAGTGTTTGTCTGGGAGAATGGAAACTTACCTAAATGCAAGGCCAATAATAAACAGGAGGATGGACAGAACATCTAAAATATTCCACAGATCATTGATATACATCCTGGCTTTCTTACGAAACCCAAAGCCATCAGGATCATGAAACAGCTGAGATGAGAGAGAAGACAAATTATTACTTGGATGAGTGGGATTTTAGTAATGTAGTGGTATAAATATTTCTTAGAAAAAGGAAAACTCTGTATGCAGCAATAACAAGAGAACGTAGAGAAGGGAGATGAGATGACATGGTTTACTCTGAAATGCCCCAATATAATCAGGCAGCTTAATTATATCCCAGGCTCTGTGTGAGTGTGCCTGAGGTAAGCCCAGAGGCTTCCCTTAGTCTAAAGTCAACCAGGTGAACTTAAAAAGCATCTTGTATTCACCTGACTACATCATAACCTTGAGCACCTGGTATTTCTCTTTGTAGCATGTTGATTATATATACATATCTCACCTGTCTGACCTCCTCACACACCAGAGAGAACAGCCAGATGTAGAGCAGCAGCTCCCCTGCAGAGGGCGTAGCCTGGAAGTCGATCATCAGCACCACAGCAAACAGGAAGAGGAAAGCGAAGTAAGACACAATATTCCAGTAAAACTTCACCTGCGGAGAGCTGTGCAGGCAGACTAGTTTGGACCAGTTGCCCAGAGGCTTCAGGCGCCGCAGCCTGGTGGGGTCACTGTGGACAGAAAAGTCCAGTGTTGGCTGGGGTTAGACTGAACTTGATCTTTAAATCAGTGTATTATATGTCTACTTACAGGCTGTGAGAATTTGTTCGAAGTGTACTTCCTGTCACAGACTCAACTGTCTTGATCTCCTCGCTCCTCTCCGTTTCTCTCTGGATGACTTCATCACGTCTGGGGAGAATAATAACAGCACTGTTGACCATCAATATAGAAATATGTTCATCACTCAGAGAACACTAAACATCAAATTTGTACTTGACCTTAAATTAGAGATAACATTCAAATGAAATCTGATTTGATAAATGCATCATGAATCAGTTATGATTAGCAAACATGGCGGTAAATATAGCTGCAAATATAACTGAATTGAATTGAACATAAAAAGCATTTGACTTCATCCAAATATAATCATAAAACCAGCATGAGGTTAATATAGGAACATCATGAGGCTGTTAGATGTCTTGACTGTTGTACAACCATGCAGACAGAGACATTATGTTTCTTTCTTTTTCCAAATGTAAACCCAACTGGATAAATATGAAGAATAGCTTTATCAGAGAATTACTTTTTTTAAATACTCAGGCTTCTAACACAGAGTTTTCATCCGTGTGCTTTAGCTTTGGACACAAGTGGTGTCCAGATGCTGACTCGTTGAGAATATGCGTTTTTGTGAGTAATTGTGAGTGTCAAATTCTGTCTGTTTGGTTTATTGTAAAGACTTGTTCTCTTTGCAGTAATTTAATAGTGTTTTGTCTCTTTAGAAAGAAAAATATTTGGCCTTTATTGAACTTTGTATGTGGTCTCAATTTTCTTTAGAAAGTGTGTGTTTGCCTGACCTCTTTTAAAGCTGGCTCGTCCTACATATAATTAAGCTCTTATGCTGTTCTAATAATTCATATATTTCTGACGTGACACCTCTCTTATTTTATCCATCACTCTATACAGCATCTTGCACAATGAGAACTACACTGTTTCTAAACGAGATTACTAAACACAGTGACATTTTGTGCAAAGTCAGAAAGACAAAAAGTAGATTTTTTTTTTTGTTGCAGCCAGTAAGACTGACCTGAAAACCAGGAAGCCAGTGTAGATAAGAGGGAAAAAAACCATGCAGACCATCATCCTCCACACAGGGTTGTCCACTGAAAGCTCACCACACCAGATCTGAGTCAGAAGAGCCTGGAAAAGACATGTTAGCAGACTGGATCACACTGTATCTGCAGCAGTTAATGTTGCTCAGATTTAATACCCAAAACTCATATACTGCATGTGTATCAACATGAAATGTATAAAGACTTATTTACCAAGTTTAATTCACTGATCAGTGGCACAAAATAGCAATTTTATCTACCTGAACACCAGACTGAGCTACAAAGCTTTTATCATCAGCCTCCAGTGCCAGCCTCAGGCACGTCGTCCTTCCCCAAAACGGTGACGCACGAACCAGCAGCTTCCGAGCCCTCTCTTCATCACTGTTGTGGCACTGGCTGAACACACCTAGGACACACACGCACACACGCACACACACACACACGCACACACACACACACACACACACACACACACACACACACACACACAAGCAATGAAGATAAATGATATGCTTGTAAAATGACTGTACTTAACATAAGTAAAGCCACACATTATGTCTGTGGTTTTATACCAATGGCGTGGTTCTCATAGTGACTGGCGAGCTCTTTCATGTCCTCTGCCTCGTCTGCATCACTTCCTTCTGCTGCCATTTTCTTCAGGATCTTACTGGCAGCGAGAGCAGCAGACATGCAGTCTCTACACTGTACAGACACAGACACAGACACAGACACAGACACAGACACAGATACAGACACAGACAGATACAGATACAGAAAGAAATGTCTATTTTCAAATTTTGTCCGTATAAGTTCATCACCTGCTCCCAGGCGATTTCAGCCAGCTCCCTGTTATTCTGGACGACAGCCCAAAGGAAAAGGTCTCTGCCTGGGTCCCTCTGTGCTTCAGCACTGTTGTCCCTGAGTGGAGCTTGGGGGTCCGTCTGACTTTTAGACAGCTAGAGGAGAAGTGAAGGAATGTGTTGCATTAATTGTATGGTTTATGGCTGTAGCCAGGATTTCAGAAATACTGATGGCATCCAACCAAATGAACCCAAGGCATGGCCCAGCCAATTTGATATTTGATATATTTCAAATTTCATTTTTTTAGCCAACTGTTCAGTTATTCATCCTGTGAAGTTTATTTCCCATTGTGAAGGTCTAAAGATGTTCTCCACAATGAAGAATTAAATTCTGGTGGGAATATTTATTTATTTATTTTGACCAAAAAGGTACTGGAATCAGTCCAATTTCTTAAATGCCATGAACCTGATTTGATGAGTGTCTATAGGATGTACAGTATGAAGGATTCTTTAGTTTTGGTTGTCAAACTCTATTCATTCAATCACAGTGTTTTCTGATGTTTTCCCCTGCAGACCTGCAGGCAGGTTTTTAAGCAAAGCCCAACAGATGATGGATGAACATACTTACTGATGAAGATGCATCCTCCATAGTCATGTTGAGGTGGTATGTCATGGTGGAGGAAGGGTAGAGGGGATGGGTGAAGCTGCCCAGCAGGTGGCGCACTTCATCACATACATGAGTCATGGAGATCATTTCACCTTGCCCTGAATGAGCTCGAGGCCTGATGCCAAACGTTTGCCTCCTGCTGCGAGAGCTGTGGACCCGCTTGGCCAGCTTGTTGAGAAAGAAGCCGCTGGGAAGCTGTTTGTAGAGCTCACACAGAGTTTCCTCGTCATGCAGGAAATCCCTCAGACTCACGCCGTTCTCTAGCAGCAGACTCACAAACCGAGGCCTGTTGCCAACCAGGGCTGAGAACATGGCCCAGTGGAGGTCACTGGACTAGAGCATGATGACAAAGCAGGAGAACAAGACAGTCAGGATCCCACCTATCACTGTTTTTTAAAAATGTGAGAAAAGTGTGAAGTGTTTGCTAACTCATTTACCGTATGTCAGGTTCATCAACACAGCAGTGTGAGGAGAAAAAATACTTTACCTTACCTTAATCTACACTATTCTATGATACAGTTGTTCTTTGCCCCTTGCATCATAAAACCTTTATGATATGAGGTATTACCAAAGTATTGCCAAAATTTGAACATAGAAATTTTCACAACTAAAATGTTTTGCTAATTTCTCGAGGATTACAATGAACAACAGTTTGATACGAAAATAAAAAATCTTTCATTGTTTTGCTTGTATTGTTAAACCTCCGTTTGGCATGAAAGTTACATTTTCCTTTTGATTCAGTACCCACTTTCTCTCACAGCTAGTTAAAATCAAACAGACCATTTATTGTATCTGCTGTAAACCTTGTCAGCTGACTGCTGCTGCTTCCAGTCCATTACACCTTTTATTTATCTTATCTTAATAGTGATGAGCAGGATTGCAGCACAGGGTCAAGTTCAGACGATGGTCATATCTGGGACGGATCAAAGCTAGTGTTGTTGTTGTTATTATGCTGTATAACCTGCAGACCCACCTTCCACTGGCTCTCCTCAGTGAAAATCTCAGTCTCAGCTATATCCACTCGGTTCCAGGCTATAGCCAGCTCCAGCTGCCTCTTCCAGCTCTCGATCCCCAGTGACTCGCTGGTCCTTGAAGCTGAGTGGAGAATTTATATTGATACCATTTTAGCTGTAGAGTGACAAAGTTTATTTATACTGACTGATTGACTGCTTTAGAGCTAAAGCCTCTGTTACAAGACAGTCTCTCTACAAGAGATAATCCATTTTCATCAATCAAGGCATTTTTTTTCCATATTGATGCAATTGGCAGCTATTTTCATTGTCCATTGATCTTATTAAGATTATTTTTCATCAACTGACAAATATTTTACTCCTAAAATGTCATAATATTGTAAAAAAAAATGTTCAATGTTCAAAATCCAAAGATATTAAATTTAAAGCAATTTAAATGGAGAAAAGCCTCACATTCCTCATATATGCGAAGCTGGAACCAGAGAATATAGTTGTTTTAGTTTGAAAATTGACTAAAACATTTTTCAACTTTAAAATTTCTGATTTATTTTTTCTCAATTGACAAATTGATTAATTGACTAATGAGCTACACTATGCAATGCTATCTGAACAGCTACACAGCATGGTCACGCAGCAGTAGCAAAGCGTTACTTAAACTACAAAGATTCTACAATGAACTTTGTGGCAACAGAAGAAAGTGGGTGTCCTACAGCAGGATCACTGCCTTGAAATCCATTTTAATTACTCCAATAGAGCTCAGTGATGGAAACAATTGGCATAGCAGTTTCGCTAGAATAATGATTCATCACGATCAAATGTTAAGTGAATGTCTAAGCTGTTGGACTCCCTCTTTGTCTTAGTGCACTTTGGCTCAATCTTGTTCTACAACAATGTGCATTAAGCTTGGTTTACATTCATAAACCTTTTTCAAAACCACCAGGAGGCAGAATATGTTTTAACCACTGCATATTTCTAAGAATATCTGTGTTGGTTTTCCATCTCTGCACATTTGTCCAGTCATTTAGTTTTCTGAGAAGCAACATAATACTATACTAAGAGCTGGCGTCACACAAAGTGCTTCTGTCTTCATGCCTAATGCTGTGTTGTGCACTCACAGTCAGTCCAGTCAGGTATTAGATATCTTTGTGAAAACCATATGTCTACCTTTGAGTAGTGCTTGAAGAATAGCCACATCCACGCCCCCGTGAACATCCTCGCTTACTCTGAATACTGTCAGCAAGTGCGGCATCCTAATGATGTCCTGAATCTGTAATAGAAGAGAAACTGGATGTGGGCAAGTACCAGTTGAACAGGGACAGTAATAACTTTATTTATATAGCACTTTTTAATTAAAATAAATACTTAAGATGGGTCTTGAAAGTTGACTCTAAATTTTAAGTTACTCCTGCAAAGAGTTACAAAGTCACTGTATTTACTAACCAGGACAGGAAACCAATCTGAAAATCAATTCTGAAATGAATTATCAGCCTGTGAAGGAAGACTAAGATAGGGGTGATATGATTATGCATCCTTGAATTTATTAAGATCCTTGCTATCCCAAAGAACTGCAACTGAGAAAGTATCTTACATTAAAGGTTAATCGTTTGGAAGAATAGACTGATTCACTTTCTGGAGGTGAGTTAGATGAGAAGATTGACTTCACTGTGATGTGTGTACATTAAATATGAAGCTAAATCCAGCAGCTGGTTAGCTTAGTTTAGCAGAAAGACTGGATATGGGGTAAGAGCCTCTGACTAGCCTCTGGCTGTAGCTTCATATTTTTAGCTGAATGCCATTAGCATAAAAATGAAAGTTTATATATTTGCCCATGGTTTCTCCAAGAAGAAGCACACAAACAAAAAACATCAGAGGCACACCACATCCACCGTATCAAATGCAACACTAAGGTCAAATAGTTTCCACATCAGACGCAACCAGGAGGTAAGTTTTGTGATATGTTGAGATCTAACTCTAGCTTGAAATTTCTCAAAAATGTTATTGAATTAATGAATGATATTAACTGAGATGATACTATGTTTTCAATGACTATGGAAATAAACAGTAGTTTGGAAATTGGTCATCAATCTGTTCACATACCATCTTGGTCCATTTTATGATCTTGAGGTCAGCAAAGGTTTCATACTCTTGACCAAAGAACTTCTTCATCAACTGGTGGATGAGGACAATAGTGACCCTGGTCACTGGCAATCCTGCGACCTGGGCAATCACATCTGCTATTCTCCCAGAGCCCTCCAAGACCACACACGGTGTACCATTCAGCATGGCATTATATATAGTCTGGGAAGAGACACACAAGAGTCAGACAAGACAGACAAAGACAGGGAAAGAGGCTTAAAACTGATAACTCACATTCAGAGTGCCTGGACCTCCATCCAAAACCACACACACCACAGGGATGGTCACACCGCTCTCTGGAGGTTGGACAATATAAAAATCAATATTAAAAGCAAAACAGATAAAAGAAACAGATTTGAGATGTTATCTATCATGTCTTGTTGCATCTGTACACACTTCATCAGCTATTTTTAACCTTTGTTTCCAAGAAGCTTCCTGGAGATGCATTTCTCCAGACGGCTACGCAGTTCAATCTCGACGCCATATCGTCCGTGGGTTCCATCATCCACCAGCAGGAAGTGGGTGTGGTTATTATCGAGGCAGGATAGCCGGCTCTGGCCCTTGATGTCCATTGGATAGTGGGCTGGGAAACAACCCTGCAGAGAAGGAGGTGGTGGAATAGGAGTGAGAGGAAATCATAATTACAAATCACAAGTAAGAGACAAGCCACATGTGTAAATGTTTTTACCTTACCTCTGAATTCACCAAAGTATCCCTGTTGTGAATTACTCCCCATGTTGCCACTCCGATAGCTACAATCTGACCCTGCATGGAGCTGCTGCTTAGGGCATAGTCCCTCACAGCCTGCCCTACATGCTTCATCACACCTGTGTGAGTACCACCAGTGATGATCCACGCACCTGTGTGCAACACAGCATGGAAACAAAGTCAATCATACATACACTATATGACCAAAAATCTGTGAACACTCACACGTGAGCTTAGCAAAAAGACTAGAATCAATCTGAAGTCTACAACTGATACATTATGACTTCATGGAGGGGATATGTGTCGGACCATTTCTAGGCGGGGTGCAGTGACTTCATCAGTAGAAAGTGTATTTAACTACATACCACAAAACCTTTGACTGCATGAATCTGAATGTAGGTGGAGCACACAGAGAGGAGGCTGGAGATAGCATACACCCACACACCATAACTACACATGTATTCATAAAACACATCCTTTCATAGACTGTCTGGCTAATCATTGGTACACCTTTACATCTCACACACACGTTTCTTTCTCTTGCTCTCTCTGGCTGGCTGACCTGTTGTCTGGGCCACTTTGATAAGACCTCTGTGGAACATGTTCTTCAGACGAGCCTTCAGATAGAAGTTCTTGGCTCCTCCGGTCACTGAGATCAGCAGGTTGGGACTGGAAAGTTTCCACTGTTCAGTCAGTAAATGGTACAGGACTTCAGGGCTGGTGTCTGTGGACACTCGCACATACTGAGGATGGACACGTGTAGAAACAGAGACGCAAAAGGCAAGATAAAGACATATAGGGACACATTTCAATACATTCATTTTATGTCATTATTGTAGAGAAGAAAGGATTATTTCACCTTTCCTGTCTTTTGTCCCAAACCACCAAAGTTGATGTCTCCAAAAGCATCAGTAGGCACTTCGCGAACATGTCTGTGTCTGTCCCATGTCTCCCCTGTGAAGTCCTCTGGCTTGATGGCTTCATCCACATGGTCACTTTTTGAGTAACCACAGTTACATACATCCTCTCTAGTGGGGAAATAGTGGATAATACTTGTAGTGCTTCCTTAGACAGACAGTTTTAGTAAAGTAGCAACTGCTGGAAACAACTAATACATTCAATCATCATGTAACTGTCCTCACAGCAAGGCCAAGGTCTCCTCTAGCATCCACACAACAGTATCTCTGTGTTATTGTGCAGCAGCAGCAACTACAAGGTCGCTTCAGAGACTTTCATCATCAAACCAACGCAGTACAGAACAGAGCAGCTCGGCCTACCTGACATGTTTTTCAAAGAAGCAACATTCCCTTTTGCAGATGTTCTCCCTGATCCAGGAGCCGAATGCACAGCGCTGGTAAGAAGGGGAGAGAGAAAGATGTTTAGAGGGTCTCGCTGCGCTGATAGCCAGAGTGTGAATCAGCTGGGGCTCCAACTCAGCTTCTCCCATCCTTGAGGCAACATGGAAGGATTACGCTGCACAGATCGGCCCTAGGCTGAGAGCTGACAGCCTGAAAGGAGAGAGGGAGACTCTGCAGTCTGTGCTGTGGGTGCTGGCTTGCACTCAGCACTGCATCAGTGATGTCAGAACAGAACTACAGCAGCGGGAAACCTGACTAAACCTCCTTCTTATGGGACAGACAGCAGCCAGACACAGTTCTAGATCAATAGATTACTGCAGTACTAACAGTGGATTAATTACAAGCGACAGCAGCATAATGAAATCTAACATTTTTTACATTTAACAATTGAAAAAAAAAAGGATACATAGCACAGTAGTTTGCAGTTAATAAATGACTCATTACATAGAAATCAAAACAATTTACTGGACTTGTGAGTAAGGGATATAGTTCAAGTTTTCCCAGCTGTAAAAGAGGTAAATACAACAAGTAGGCTATGTTCACTCACGTACTGTTCCTCCATGTAGTTTTGAGTTACTTTAATTGAGTATCTCGATTTTATGTTACTTAATGCCTCTACTCCACCATATCTCAGGGGGAAATACTGTACTTATTACTCCACTACATTTATTTCACAACTGTAGTTTGCTTCTTTGCCGATTAATACTTTACATTTAAAACATAAGACCAATTTATAAAATATGATACAATTTTCTTCTCAATACTTACACTGGTAATTGTTTAATAATAATCACTATTTGATAATAAATGTAACAATCAAACACTCACCTTTGTATAACAAGAAACCACTTTATTTAGTCTCCGTTTGTTCTGCTGCAGCTGCTTGATTGTTTCCTGCGGGTGAACCTTATTCTCAGATTTAGGTAGCATTTCTGATGAAGTAAAAAATAAAGTTTATTACCATTTGCAAGCCTCTGCTCTGTGCAAGTACTCTGCGTTTATGTCTAGTGAAGGAAGGGGCAGAGTGTGTATCTTGTCAGTGATGGACTATAAAATCTGCAAAGCCGGTACTTAAGCATTCTGAGATATGCTTTTAACTTGCTGTCACGTGACCTGTTGTGCAATATCTCTACTTCCTCCACTGAAGCCCCTGGAATAGAAAGAAACTCTCAACTCCAACAAATGGATTTTCAAATAAGGACCTAAAGCTACAAGTCCACACTGACCCACTGATTCAGTCTTCATGTCATGCAGTGGCAACAAATCCTTTATGATCTCTCAGCTGGATAAAGAGGCTGTAGTTGCCTTGTTGCACTGGCTCCACCCTCTCTAAACCATATTAACCACAGTGAAACTCTCTGCCAGAAAAAAACAATCTGCTGTCTAGTCAGGCTTCACATTACCACCAAACAGATTTAGATATACATTTTCAAATGTACACTTAACATGCAAGAAGGTGACTTATCACTTTACTTCCAGTGTTTTCTGATTCAGAGTCCAGATGTAGGCTCACTCATTTTGAAAAACATTAGCTTAAAAAAATCAACATTTAAGATATGCTTTGCCATAGATAACATTACCCTTTTTACCGTCTTCAGATCCTCCTTTCACTCAAGAGCAACATGAAGTTTCTGGTGTCTGGCTTGAACAACACACACTTGCAGGTGTGTGGAAGTGAAGTGTTTCATGTCGTTTTCCAGGCGTTATAACACCTGTTGCCAGGTGACACCTCCAGAGTATTCAGCTACAGGGATCTAGTTACTGAATTGAGCACTGGTTGGTTTTTCAGGTGTTGATATGTATTTAAATTGGTAGTCATAAGAACTGTCAGAATCTCTTTGTTGAACTCATTCTGCATGTGACAGCTGAGGTATGTACTGATTACCCTTTCTATTGAATTAACAGCAGTGATGAGTGTCCAGGAAATCTTTTATGTTACTTATTAAAGTTACTAAGTCTAACAACTGTTTGTTGTCAGTAGTTTATCAGTATAATCAATAAGATCATTTGATGTTGAAGAGAGAGTATTTACAAACTGGCATGTCGTCATCTCATCCTCAAGGCACAGAAGGTGCAGGAACAGTTGACTGGTACTGGACTAGCATTTTGTAAATACTCAACCATGTTGGTCACAACCTGTTAATCACACATGAATCACTTAGAGTTGCAATATAACACATGACATTTAAGTTATCAAGCTTATTATGTGGAAATATCAAAAATAAAAGTAGGATCACTCATCATTTAACATGGTTAAACAGAATATTATTAATATGTCCAAATTTTAGAAGTTTGGTATCTAATGCTAGCTTTATAATGCCCAATCCTTAAAGCTCCAGAAGCTAATGCTAGCCTTATAATGTCTGATTTATTTTAATAACACCACAGTGCTTAGCTTGATCCAAGCCTTCTTTTCTACAAGTTAGCAGCTAATGCTACTGACATGCTTTCATATCTTACCATTAAATTGCTGAAGACAAACACTGGAAGCTAATATTACTGACACTGTTTAACAAAGCTTAAAGCCAGCCTTGTAATATCCAAAGACTAGTAGCTATGCTAGCCATGTAACATTCAGGTTAGGAAAAGCTAAAGGTTCCTTTGTAATTTTAATGTCCCAAAGTAAGTTAGCTAATGCATTGTTTAGCCAGATTTCAATCTGAATCTTTAGCACTGTAAACAGTATGTTCATGGTTAGCATTGTGTCTTGTTACAGAACCATCTCTATTGTTCATTAAATAGATATAGTTCTACCATGCATTACTGGTTTACCCTGAGCACCTTGATCCTCAATACTCACCATGGACCCCAGCAGTTAATAAAGGGGGTGGCAGCCAAACACTTCCGTTTTTTTTAGCTCTTGCTTATGTCATCAATGATGTCACGGGCTATACGGGCCATGGCTGTGAGGTGGTCAAACGTTTAATATAGTGAGTAAGTGAGTAAGTACTTGTTGTGGTGCAATTATACAGTTTGTTAACTACATTGTAGTTTACTTTTTTTTGTATTGTTGGTGTTTACTGATAAAAGTTACTTTTTGTTGATAAATCTTTTTAAATGAGAGAGATTTACTCCAGATATTTTGAATTTTTAAATAGAATAACCATTTCCAATAGTCTGATCCTTCACAGAATCTGTGCAGATTTCTTAGGATCCCTCAAGGTTTTGGCTCATTTAAACCATCTTAGTCTTTGTGGAGCGGCGTATGTGAAGTTCAGGATCAAAGTTTGGTAAATCTGTAGTTACTTAAGAGCAAAACAATTCTGTCTGCTTTTTAATGTTTGACTCTATAAAGTTAACTCTCTGCTGTAAACGTTGTAGTTAACAGGGTCAGAGCTATGGGTTGGAGTCTGGAGCGCCACATGCTGTGGGGGTCAGAGACGTAGGAGGAAAGCTTAAGGCAAAGTTCAGCTTTCAATTAATGTACGGCAAAAGATAAATTAACTGACACAATGGAAAGGAAATTCAAATCTCCGCTTCTGTAATCATGGGAATTTATTCAGATAAATCAGAAACTAACTTTTAGTAGACATGTATTGAATATGAATTGTATATTGTACAATTGTACATGAATACTATATGTCATGTTAAAGTGTAACTTGTTGTTCTGAATTACCACCACCAGATGTCAGCACACAACCACTGATCACAGCTAGGCACACGCTTGGAACCAGCTGTATTGGTATTTCTGCAATTAAGTATTTCAGTATTTTTTTTGCTCAGATTCTACATCTTATTGCAATAAAGTTATGATTTAGGCTTTTTGGTTTTGACTCAAAAACAAACTTAAAACAGCCCAAAACTCAAATATATTAAGCTTATTATCATAGAATAGACAAAAATCATCATATTTGACCAGATGGAAAAGAGAAAGAAAAGAAAGAAATCTAAGGTTAGAAAAAAGTCTAGTAAAATGTAGTAACTACTGGTATATATAATGTGTACAGTGAGGTGATTTGTAAGTTGAGAGCAGTACGGTGGTGATCAGATCGTATCATATTGAACCACTTCCACACACAAAGCAGACAGACACTCAGATCCCTTACGGCACAATATTTATTCAACAATATACAGATTAATTTCTCTCTACATATCAGTCTGATCTTCAGTTTTTTATATTTATCTTGGTCTCACCTTTGTACATTTGGTATTTACAAGATTTAAAATAAGTCTTTCTCTCCATTTATACAACATCAATAGTACAGTGTTATCACATCTTACAGCAGCTTCCCTAGAAGCATCTATATTAGATCCATCACTGATAATCTTGTTTACATTTCATACACCAGCTGACGTCTTTGAGCCACAGAGCAGCAAACTGACAGAAGGGCTCAACATGCACCAAAAGTCCAGTTGTGGCTTTCTCTCTGTGAGGGCAGTCGGATGACAAATGGATGGTCGTCTTATTTCACTCACATGAGAGAGGTCCCTCGCTCTGTAGCACCACAACAGGGTGTATAAACAGAATTGTTGAATTGGGATACTGTTGAGGACTTGCACCTTAAAATTCAGCTTAAATGCATCTGCCCCATCCCACCCAACAAGGATCAATGAAAGCCCGTATACCAAAAACAAAATAAAGGAAAAATAAAAGGGGAAAAATGTTGCATAGAATCAATTCTGACCTCAAGAACAGAAATTTTGGTGCTGCCATTTTTAAAATCCGGCATTTTGATAAACTCCTGAGACCTTCCAGACCCCCGTAACTTTTTTTTTCTTTTTTGGTTTTGAAAGGAAAAAAATAAATAGCTGTACCCTTAGACTAACAAAAATAGCATTGTGTTGGATGTGACATCACATAGAAGTACTACTTTAAAGAGACTAAAACCCTGCATTGAGTGTATACACATTTGCACATCTATATATATCATTTCAATAACTATCTTGAGGAGAGAGGTGGATGGATTAAAGTGCATTATACTGTATGAAAACAAAGCCCACAGTTATCACATGCAGGACGGGAAATGAACTTTGTCCATCGGCAGCAAAGGCTGACCAAGTACAAAATGAGTCCTTTTCACCACCTAAAAGATTTTTTTGAAATGTAAGTGGACCTTGTGAGAATTTCTGATCTTATAATTCTGCCAAAATGAATGGAAGATTAAGTAATCAGCCACAGCCAATGTGTTATTGACATTTGCTGCTTGGCGTTCATTTCCCGCCCTGAACACATGCAAATAACACCAGACACTGAGGGATTACTCTAAGTCAACATACAGTACCAACATGGCTGCTGGTAATCTCGGTCAGGGGCACTCATATTAATGACATGAACACGTCACCAGTTTTAAAACAGCAAAAGGTGCCACTCAACTCACAGCAAAATACAGCAAAATGGGAACACGGCTCATTGAGAGCCACACAGCACAAAGATGACAGCAGACAGACCAGGTGAGAGTGTGAACTGTAGCTACACTCCTCTTCTTCTTCTTCTTCTTCTTCTTCTTCTTCTTCTTCTTCTTCTTCTTCTTCTTCTTCTTCTTCTTCTCCTTCCTCCTCCTCCACAGTCCAGTCCAGCAAGAGGAGGGAGAGGAGGAGGAGGAGCGTTGTGAGACCAAAGAGCCAGCGATCAAGGCTTTTTGGCCTGAAATGTTTAAGGCTAAAGCACACACAGGACTCACTCGGGACCAGGAGCAGCAGCTGTGGCGGTTTCTAGCACAGCAGGAGCATGAGTGTGTGAGATTTTCACTGCAGACTGAACTGACTTTTATATACATTAATCATTCAATCCTCATTTTCAACAAGCACATAAGCAAGACGTGGTAAATGCAATACAACAGCTGACATCTACAGTACACAGACGCATAATATACTGCTTTTACATGTGAACAGCAAAGCTTAGTAATGATTGTGAGAGCACAGTGTGTCGCACACACCTGTGATGAGTGAAAAGAAATATCATGGCAAAAAAGGTGAAGCTGCATCTAAGGGCACGTTGAGCCACACGTCCAAACATCCCTTTTATTGTGCCTTAACTTTAAAATAAGACAAGTAAACAGAAAAAGAGAGGCATTTTAACTTAAGACATCCAAGCAAAAAAATTAATTTCCTTAAGGAGAGGATGTGTATTGGCACATCTGGCAAAGACGAGACTTGGGTTTGGCCCGTTGGCTGTTTCACGCATCTGAAACAGCAGTGCTTTGCAGGGGCACTAAACATGCGGACAAGCACGCCATGAGTCAGTCTGGGCAGGGAGCACTACAGAAGGCTAGCTAGCACTCTGCGCAGATGCAGGCATTTAACAACAGAGAAGATCCAACTCCATGCACATGAGGATAAAAAAATTGCACTTCCAAAATCATTACATAAAAAAAAAAAAAGAAGAAGCAGGACATTTCTAGGGAACTAAAATAATCAGGTTAATCCCAGTGTGGTTGTTTGATATATGACAGAAAATACGAAAACCTGAAGACAGTCGTGTTCTTGTTTTGCAGCTAGATTTTGTGCATGATGTGATTGAACTGAAATGCAAGGCCCAGATATTCAGTCACAACTCCTCACAGGAACACACAAAGATTTTACAGTGTCATTACAGTTGCAGTGTGAAACCATATTGGTCCCCACTATATAATCCCCCAACTGGTAGAGCGCTCCAGTTTCAAACCTAACGGGGTCTTTAAATCCTGAATCGGATTGGGAGACAGGTGTCTGAGTGGCAGGTGAACACACAATGAGGTAGAACAAAATGTTTCATGAGCATCCAATCAGAGCACAAAACACATGGTCATGGTGATGCGCAGTGACTAGTACAAGCCTCCAGTGGGCAGTAATTCACCGGCTCAAAAATGACACCACACACAAGCCTCAACACAAACAAACACCAACAAGTGCTTTCAGGTGGAAGGACCCATTAAATGGTTTAAACCAGATTAACAATCCAGTATAAAATACAGTCATTGCCTTTAGCTTCACACACAAACCTACAATGTTTAGATCCAGTTCTTCCACAAGATTCAGCTTCAGATTTTAAATCAAGTCACAAGACGAATTTGTTTCCTCTTGTAGTTCCAGTTAAAAGCCTGGGGCAAGACAAACCCTTACCACATTCCAGTTTGGTTTTTACAACAATCTTAAAAGTTTGATTTTATAGATCAAATCAGATAGTTATTATCATAATTACAGAATAAAATTAGGGTCATGGGCTGAAAACTAGAGAATCACTTGGGTCTGACTGATTTCTACAAAATCATTGTCAAACAAAGTGAAGAAAAAAACAAAACAAATGCTACCTTCTTTGGATTGTAATTTAAAAAAACATTTAAAGATTCTTTTTTTTTTTTTCATAAAACCATTTTTGCCTAATTAAAAACAGCAATTGACAAGGAAGGTAATCAGCAAGAACGATTGCACGTGAGCCCCGGAATGAAAGGGAAGGAATGAAGAGAAAGAGCAATAATCCCCACTCTTCTCTACATGAGCGACGGTAAGTGTTATTGCTGATTCATGTTGACTGATTCAGTCAGGAACTCAAAAAATCTGAAATGTCATATATCCCCTACAGCTAGAGTGGCATCCTTACGACTTTTCTCTCGATGTTTCCTCCTTTTGTGGAGAGTTTCTGTGTGGAACACTCAGCTTAGTCAGACGGGAGGATGCAGTGACATGCTGGACTCTTTTACTCTCGACTGTAGATACAGCAGCAGGCAGTCATGACTTACTACTTTTCTCTTGTTGCATTCTCAGTAACTGCATGATTGTAAGTTGAATGGATGATGAAAGGGAGGAGACACAACTCTTGAGATCTGAAAATGTGTTCCTGCACAGACACACACACACACACACACACACACACACACACACACACACACACACACACACACACACACACACACACATACATGCACGCACGCATGCACACCCACACACCCACACACACCAACACAGATAGGTAGACAGAAGTTGTCAGAGTAGGGCTGAGAAGAGTCGCAGAGAAAATCTGCATGAGGGTGTGTGTTATGAGTAAGTATTTTGTGTGTGTGTGTGTTTGTTTGACTGTGTGTGTGTTTGTTTGAGTGTGCATGTGCGTGTGTGTGTGTCTACCATGCCCTGCACTGCATGTTAGACCTGTGATATGATCTGCATGTTGAAGCTGGGGGAGCGGGACTGCTTGGTGAGAGGAGCTCCAGGAGACAGGAGGTCCTGGGCGTCCTCTGGCCTGATGAGGTGCTCCTCCTGCAGGCTAATGGTGGAGTGGCGGTGGGAGCCGCCAGCTGGAAGCCCCCCTTCCTTGTCGGAGCCACCCAACACCTCCTCTCGCTCGTCCTCGCCTCCGTTCAGGTTGAAATTCATGCAGTCAAAGGACTTGCTGGAGGAGGTGCTGCCAGTCCGCACCAGCGTGGGCCCCACAGGGAAGCTCAGGTGCTTCTTTATGGGGCTCAGCTGGATGGCATCTAAGGTGATGCTGGCTGGAGGCGACTGCTGCCTCTGGTGATGCCTCCTCACGGCAGCCTGGTGATCTGCAGATAATTCTGCCTGCTTTTCCGCTGCCCTCTCTCGCTCCCTCTCCTTCTCCCGCTCTCTCTCTCTCTCCCTGTCCCGAGACAGCCGGGCAGTGATGGCTTTCTTGATGCTGCTGCTGCTGCTGTTCAGGCTGCCGCCCCTCGGCCCCATGCTGCCGCCCGCCTTGGTGCCGCTGGGCTGGCTGCTGTTGGATGCCCCGGAGGAGAAACCCTCGTCTGGGTCATTGACGTTGAAGGAATCCTCCCCGCCGCTCATACCATCAGCATCTGGACATGAACATGCATGAACGTACAGAAAAAGAAAGCATGATAGAGAAAGAGAGAAGTGAGTGAGGCAGACAATTATTAATGTTATGCTGACAATTTTGAGTATAATCTGACTCTGATGAAAACGTATTGCTAAATCCTGTGGAGAATATTCAATTCTTTTTTTATGGAAAAAAAAAATTCTAAAAGTAGCCAGCTGCTATTAATTGTAAAGTATGAACATTCAGAACCATGACATCATTTCACTGTAATCCAGAGAAAAGGAAAAACCCATTGCTGCTGATACTTGTTAACAACTGGCCTGCAACTAACTCTAATTGATCTAAGCATAAGAATAATAACATTTAGAGTGTTTATACATAATGCAGAAGGGGTCTCCGGCTACATTGGTAGCCAGCACTAACACTGACATTCAACAGAGCATGCTGCTTCATTAGCTCACTCATTATTCACCAGACAGGGGAACAATTCAATACAGTGCACAATGACCTTGAGCTCTGATGATCTCGTGTAATTCAGATTGACTAAAATCTGACTAGCTGTTTGTTTAGGAAAAGTGTGAGTTCAATACCCTGCTTGATAAGAGAGCTGAGCTTGTTAAGCAAAGATGCCATATTCCATATATATATTAAACACTAACAATTAATATCTGGTGGTAATTAAGTAAAAGTCTCACAGTCACAACAATGACATGAAGAAATCTATACAATAATACATTTTTTTGTGAATTTTTGACTTCATTTTTTGTTTGAAAGCTGGAAGGGAAAAAGATGATAAATTGAGTTAGGAAAAAAAAGCATGTTATTGACACTGTATGCAGGGTAAAGCCTGTTAAAAGAAGAGACAGAGAATCGTCTGTCTCCGTCATGCATCGCTGGGACAAGCAGAACTGGACAACAGGGAACCACAGGCAGCACCAGAAAAGAAATGGAGAAATCGAGAAGAAAAGGTCTGGACTGACATGCACATAACATGAGGAGAAGACGCATGCTCTCCTGCCCCATCCCTCGTTTCGCCTGCAACACTGGCCCAGCGGTCACATGGTTGGCCGGCTGAGACGAGCCTGCCAATCCGTGTGGACCACTGAGGAGAACACCGTACACCTCATCAGATCAATAGCACTCCAGTTAGAGCTGACAGCCTGCAAGGCTGAAGGGCCCGTCTGCGAGCCATCACAAGCCAACCCAATCCTAAACGAAGAGCGAAAAGCTCTCAAGTCTAAATGTTACAGATACAGGTGCACCTAAAGGACTGAAGCAGTGTTTTTGAATGTTTAAGTCTTCTGACTACAGCTTGCTTACATAATGCATTTTATATGCTTGCTATTGGTATCCAGTCATTTCAGTGTTCCACAAAAATCAGCCTGCAGACGTTAATCCACTACAGTAAATATCTATTTGCCTTAATTTTGTAATCTGTTGTGTTGCTGTGTAAGAATGTGGCTGTCAAGCAAGGACCATTTTAAAAACTCTTCATTAATGGTGCCTTCAAGGACACCCAGACAGGACCAAATTTTGAAAATCACTTCATACATTAGTTAATATTTCCAGGAAATAAAAAGCTGAAGACACACACACACACATACATATATATATATATATATATATATATATATATGTATAGACCGTGTGAAAAGATTATTGTGGAGGAGGGTGTCGTAAACGTCTCTCTGATGTATGGGAGAGGATTCCCCGAAAACTCAAGACATGCTGCCTTGTTAAAGCCTTTATCATTTTGGCACCATTATCAAAAATGAGACCAGAACATATCGATCATACACTGGTCTTCGTTAAGGTTAAAAAAAATAAAAAAAGTCCTGCAGCCAAATGAACCAAATCAAATGTCCAAGCGTCCTTAAACAGATCAACAGTGAGTTTTGAGTTTTTTAAAACCAGCCCTTTTCTCAACAGCAGAACAAACTTAATTATATTCACAATTAGAGTGGCTAACTAATTTTCACTGTGACATGAAATGAAGGGAAAAATCAACTCTTTCCTAGAAGTAAAGAAAATCAAATCAAAAAACTATCTGCAGTTAACAGGATTAAACATGCAGCCCCAAACTAAAGGCCATGTGTTACGTGATTTCTGTCAAACAAAATGTCCAGTAAATGTACACAGACATTGAGAAATCACTCTTCTCTAAAATAATCACTGTTCTCTCTTAACTGGGTGGCAGATTCTATCACCTCAGCTGCACCAAGTTTAATGTAAGATCATGGAAAGTGGACGGGATGGCACTAAGGCAAACACGGACCGTAAAGCCAGGGAAGGAGCCAATCTTCAGTCATTTGAAAGGATCTGAATGATGTTTCAAGACCACGCATGGAAATGGACACACATTCAACAAGACAAAATGGGCCATATGACAGGTCCTGGCAGTGGAATAGCGTTTGCTCTGCCAAGTATTGGGTTTTGACAACATTCAGTCATTTCATTTGGCCTTGTCATTTGAAATGTTAGTGTTCCAGGGTTTCGCGTTCTAGCAGAAATTATCTAAGCTTGCTGTAACGTGCGCATGCATGATGAAAGGCTCTTTCCCACTCACTGAGCTGAGGAAAAAGAAATGTAATAAGGCAGAACACAAAATTAGCATACAATAAAGCTGCTGGACTGATAAACTAAATGGAGGGCCTCTTCCTGCAGAATGGTGGCAGCAGATGGGTGCTGCTGGCCTGAGTGACCAAAACCTTATGGTGCTGTCAAACACCGTAAGGGGCAGTACGAGAACAAGATGTCGGGTACTCTGTGCCAGTTTTGAAAAACGGATGTATTTTTCCTGTTAACGCTACGGAAAAAATAAATCCATCAAACCAATTATCAGAGACGGAGGGTTGAGAAAACCCAGAGTAAAAGGTCAAGCTGCAGGCTGGGCACTGAACATGCTCAGTGAGTGACAAGGGCAGCAGTCTAAAGAACGCTGGAGTAGGCATGATGAGGATAAAGAGGATATGGCATGATGACAGGCCCATGCAAAATGGCCACTAGCCACACTTCCTTCAAACCCAGAATAGGCGACTCTTCCACTCTTCGGTGAGATGAAAAATAGCAGTGGTCTGGTAGTAGAGGGGCTGTTGGCTGAGGGTCTCATAGACTGGATGAGTTAGTATACTCTGGGGAAGTGAAGAGGAGGCCAAACTGGGAAACAGCAGAGTTAACCCCCCTCAAGTTAAGGGGGGTAGGAGGAGGAGGAGGAGGGTTGGGAGGATACAGATCGAAGGGACACCTCCTCCTGAGACCCTCTCTGCTCTGGGTGTCTGCCCCTGTCCCCTACCCTCAAGTGTGATGGGGGGAATGATGCTGCTGCTGCTGCTGCTGTGGTGGCTGTGAGCCCGCCCTCCTCTTTCCTCTTTGGCTGCAGCGTCCCAGGGATTGTTGTGGTGGTGGTGCTGGGCGAGGCTAGGAGGATTGACGGTGAGGCTCAACTCTGCATCGGTTGAGTAGTCAAAACAATCTGGGAGTCAACAACAAAGACGGGTGTTTCTTTAGTGGCAGCAAGCCTCGACCGTTTCGGGTCTCATCATGGGCACAGCAGGCCTAACAGTGGTCTGTAAATTCATGCGCAGATAAGAAAATATAGAAAAAAAAGATTGCCATGATATTTTAAAAAATGAACTGCCCCATTAATCGTCCATCTACTGGGTAAAAATGGAGTCCGTAAAATCTACCGGCACCATTTTGCTGTGAGTTTCTCTTACAACAAAAACCTTCACTTTAACTGGTGATACAAAGCACAGCACACACTTAGTAGACAAAACAAGCAAAACAAAAAGAAAAAAAGAGCAATAAGGAGCAGTGAGAGGCACAAGCACTGCAACACTGACATGAAACACCATTTGGATGATGCTAATGGTGTGACTAGGTTACACAGGAAACAGTTTTCCTTCTCATTGCTAGGGACAAAATCCAGAAAAGTCATTTTCTCACCAAATAGATCCCTCTTGTGGCCTTTCACAGATAAAAAAAACAAAACAAACAAAAAGTAACTCGTAAGGTTAACTGAACACTGGTCTCTTTTAAATTGTACAACTTTCTTGTCCAACCTACCCTGGGTCCCTAAATTAACAATTAGGATGACAAAAAAAAGTATTATAATGAATGTAGTGTGCTGTCACATCTACTGAGATCTCTCCTGCACTGAGGCCTGGTTCACTTTGCTGTGTGTTGCAGCCAAGATGGCAGATTTTGCTGGTGCTCCCGTAGCTTCAGTCTTACCCTCTCTTTTCCAGCGGTGGCGCCGTATGGAGGCGGTGGTGATGGCTGAGATGGAGATGCGGCTAATGGTGGGCGTCACCTCCACCTGGAGCACCTTGCGCCCCCGCGGTTCATCGGGGGCACTTTCTGGCAGCGAGTTCTTCATGGCATTCCCAAGCTGGAGGTGACACATACACAGACGCAGAGCAATATGCTGTTAAATGACTAAAGCAGGAAGGTATTACAATATTCATGGCAGATCAAAACCATTATTTTTCGTAAGTATTTTAATTTAAGTCAGGCTTCATAGTTACTGTGCTGTGTGTAATCAACTCCATGCACACGGTGCTGTTGGTCTTACCAGGAGAGGCTGGGAGTAAAGCTCCAGCTGAGCTCTGTACAGAATGTCCTCCAGAGCTTCCCGCCCCATCTCCCACTCTCCATTGTATCTATGTATCAAAACACAAATGCAACCACAGGCCTTTAACAACGCCATGTTGTGAGCTCATGTAGAGAATACAGTAGTGTCTGACATGATGCCTTGATGTCTGAGTCACATCCCCCTGAACTATTATTAGTTATGATGAATGAATTTCTTGGGGTTTAAAATGCATCAGGAAAAAAACCTTGATGTCACACCCTGCATGTTTGCAGGCCATGTAATCAATCATGTACTGAAGCACCAATTTTTTTGTTTTCACAATTAGTGAAGTGAATTAAGATTTTGGCAATAATTGTACTATAAAGCTTTCAAATTTGTGAAAAGCCAGTGCATTTAAGTAATATGCAAAAGGAAATAAAATAAGACTAATTATCATGACTAAATAAAAATGAAAAAAAAAAAAGACTTTTAATCACTCGGCTCTTTGCTAAAGTTCGCGAGTCGTCCTTAGCTTTGCATAAAATAATGACGCTACATCCCCCCATTCAGTCAAGAGGGATGAGAGGAACAGCAACAATAAATAAACAAATTACTTGAAAAAAAAAAAAAAAAAGACCCGCACGGCTGAACTCTCTTTGATCCAGTCCTGCACATGCAACAATCACACAGCCAAGGACAAATGCCTGGGGTTCCTTTTAGACTCAAGATGAAAAGAAAGGGATGAATGGGCAGGTAAAAACAGACTCTCTGATGTTGTGAAGACTGAAAAGAGAAAAAAAACATATACAGAAAAAAAAACATTGGGCATGTGTCTCTGTGTCTCTCAGTATTCATCTCTCCCTCTCTCTCTTCATTTGGCACTACAGCGCTGTAGCATTAGCGAACATATTAACCTAAATCTCAGAGTGTCCTCCGCAAGTGCCAAGGTCCCTCTCCATGTGTGGAGCTGTGGATTCATGTTTATCTGCCCTTCACGTGCGCCTGCTTGGGCCAAGGGTGAATATGAGAGCTCCAGCTGGCACTGAGGTGACCTATGGTAGGGATTACTAAAAAGGCTATTATTCTCTCTCTCTCTCTCACACACACACACACACACACACACACACACACAGAGTCTGGGTTTTTTTCCAGCGGCACTGACTGCTCCAATCCCCTGATTGCTGCTGCGTACCCTCACAGGGGTGATGAGGCAGAATGCATACTCAATCTCTCCCGCTCTCCTTGCTTCACCATCCTGAACAGTGGTGATTCCAGTCACTACCGTATCAGGGGATCCGTCTCTGAGGACGAGCTGTCATCGAGGAGCCCTAATCAGCTTTGCAACGACTGTCCTCATAGGGGATGAAATCACCTGCTCCCACAATGCACTGCCGATGTAATCGGTCTGTACAGTGGGGAGCTTCTGTCCTTGGTAGAGAGCTAGCATATGCTGTTAGGAGATTTTCTGCAGCAGATCACAGCAAACCAGAGTTGAGACAGCCCTCATTAGAGATGTCCCGCAGAGGCAAACAACAGATATGAGAAACTTTGTGTTAGCTAGCTTATAAAGGAACAGATATAATAATAAGGTTTATTATGTCCGTTAAGGAGAGGAACAAATGTGAGATTATCTTCCTCCCAATTACCCAATATGATTTGCACAATGTCCGTGTCCTTAACAATGAGTGTTTTCAAGAGTAGTAATGTGAAATGGCATGGATGAAAGTCACTTAAAGCGTCTATAATCAATATTGTTTTATAACAACATATAAAATGACAATTTGAAAACAATGTGACAATGTGAACGGAGTTTCTTGTAGTGATGAGAGAATTATCACCTGAACCTGCAGCTCCACTCTGCTTTAAAGAGCTCTGTAGCAAATTTCGGCTCTGTCTGGCTCGTAACTTTACTGTTTCAGTTCATACTCGCCTCTCTTTATAGTGTTGTTTTCAGCCCCAGCAGGTAGCTGTTTTCACCAAAAGAGCTCTAAAAACTCTGTACACTACCTGCTTAGCACCGAGCTCAGCAGGTAAAATTAGCAACTTGCTGGGGAACATATTTGAGTATTTAGCTGCTTTAAAGAGACCAACTCCTTAGAGACATATTTCCCTCAGGATTTGGTAAGAGCTAGGTGTCCAGGTGTCTAGAAACACAAAACCAAAATAATGATAATGTTGCACTGTAAATGCTGGATGTGCAAATAAGCAATTGTTTGCTAAACAGTCGATTTAAAAGTTGATGATATGTCAGTGTTGTGTTCACAACTTCTTATTTCAGCTTTACGGATACATACATGGCGTGATAAACTGCAGTCAGCATCTGCACCATGAACTCGGGGTCTAGCAGCACTCGGTTGCATGGTTCCCTCCAAAGCTTCTGCTGCTGCCGGGGGAAGCCACATACACACAACCTGAGGACGAAGAACACACACACACACACAGTCATCCTGACTCAGGGACAAAGGGATGTGGTTTAGGAGGAATAAGACGACAAAAGTTTAGAGATAGTTTGTTGTTTAAATTGTAAGTGCCCTCTAACCGCTGCAGGAAGTAGCAGAGATTGGACGAACAACTAACAGGAAGATCAGTTGCTAACTGAGTGAACTAAACAAAGGAAACACATCAAACAGTGAGCAAGGGAAGTCAAATTTTAACTACTTTACACAAGGTCGGGCAAGGTCGGGCGACGAGGTGTTCAGGGTCTACACTGCGAGGATGAACTCCAAGAGAGAGCATTGTTCTCGTGCTCTGAAATCTTCACAGTCACAGTTTGCCCTCTGTCTAGACTGAGCTTGCCTCAGGCGTTGTCTGTCTGCTCACTCGCAGTAGGGAAGTCTTCATATCCTGAGCCGTCCGCATGCTGCAGCGAAATCGCTGGGCGGCCAATCCCGTACAGAGCCTCATATTGTGAATTCCACATTGATTCTTTCTTCTTACCCCAGGGTTTCCAAGATAAACAGACTCAGACAGGTATCCCGCAGTGATGCTTTCATTTGGCCAATCACACACAACTGAGATCTAATGAAATTGCTCTTATCAAATCCTCCTGAAAAGAGGACAGTCAGTATCAAGGTTGGCGTATAGCTACAGGGTAGGGGACGTGATTTAATCCTCGTTTCAGGACAGCGAGTAATGAAGGTAGATGAGGGGAGAGGGAGGTCACTAATTGGGTACTGAAAGGACAAAACAGTGGGCAAAAAAAAAAAAAAAGAGAAAAAAAAGAAATAGACAATAAAAATAATAAAAAAAAGAAAAGAAAAATAGACACATATGCTTTACACGTTTTTCTTACCGTGAGCTCATTCTGCAGACTGACTGATAGGAAGAAAGGGGCATGTAGACCACGGCAGAGTTGTAGCACAGCATGAGGAAACACAGCACTTCAAACCTGCAACCACAAAACTGAGTCAAAAACGAGCACAGCAATACAGACTCTTAATTAGGGTCTAATCAAAGTTTTAATCTGATATCAGTTCAACATCAGCTTGTCTGTTTTTGTTCACAAAATATTCTAACCACACTTTCTTTTTGACAGCTTCACTGAAGACAATTATGTAGAGTTGATCAAGCAATTTATCGACTCTAGGAACTGTTAAACAGTCCGATAAGCACACTGCTTACATAGGCAGCTTTGTTCATTGTGAGTTACTTTACGGTATCTACATGCATAACCTAATATACTGCAGTAATCATCTTTACACTCTCAACACAGACCATGTCAGTGCTGTAGGATCAGCTCAATGCAGAGGGACAACCAGGAGGAGGGACCTCGAGTGTAAGGACCATATTGACTCGGTGCGCAGAGGGATGTAAATGGCCTGGCTGCATATTATCAGTTGGACAGAGCCAGCACCTCTCAGGAGCTCTGCGCTTTATTCTCATGCCCAGCCACACAAATGGATTTCCAGATAAACTATGAGGCCTGGCTCTGCTGAAATCCATTCAGTATATTTACGATGCTCTATGTTCTTCGTAGCCAAGGGGCCTCGCTGCTCCGGACAACACACAGGATGACCAGCGTTATCTGTGCTGCCCTTACATTATCAGCTCTGGTAGTTTAGATGTGTATCTGTCTCTGCACGTGTCACTACAAACAAACAAATGTATAAAGTGCCACTCTGCTCATTTTAGTGAAGCAGAAAAATATTTTCTGGCAGGATTCCAGCATGCTTCATTACTATGCTGAGATTATCATTCATCCACAGCAGCAGAGAAAATGTGAGAGCCAAAAAAGCTTTCAGGCCTGCTGAGTCTGGCCAGAGGGGGCTGAATGAAAGTCGAGGATTGTGCTTTGATCATCTTAAAAGGTATTCTTCATCTTATGGAGAAGGATTGGATGGAAGGTGAAATAAACAGTTTTGTCATAAAAACGTAAGAAAAAAAATTTAGATTGAATTAAAAGTTGGATTCAGTCGCATTGATGCTGATGGTTGGTGTTTACTGAAGCTGAACGGTCAACAATGCCTCCACTTCAGTGTCCAAAAACCAAGCAAGGTTTCACCCTCGGGTAATTCATTCAGTACGCTACACTTAGCAAATGTCTCTAAACTGCTGCGATTTAATCTCTGTTGTGACGTTTGTGCTTTGTCTCTAATTACTCCCTCTCTGTTGGAAGCTGGTTGAGTCGGAGCCGTACCTGTTCTGAGCTGTGAAGGTCTCTCTCTGAGGGTGGAGGCCGCTGTACACCACTCTGATCAGGTCATGTTGACACAGAGCACCCTCCGTCAGTGCTATGGACCCCAGACTAGAAGGCTAAACACACACACACACACAAAAGAAAAATAAAGTCAATTAAACATTTGCTCACCACCTTGGCTTTTACAACGTGTCAGTAAATTGGCAGTGAGGATGGTGCGATATTAGCAAACGAGATGATGTGCCCTTCAAAATGTTAATTGAGAAACTGGGGGCCTCTGCTGTGATCGGATGGGGAACTGATGTGTGTTTGTTTTTATTACAGTGGCATGAGTTCATGGCTGGACCTCTGCCAAACTCTCACCTTTGAAGGGATCACTGTACCTGGCAGCACTTGACTTCTTTCTGTTAGGCTCGTTTATCTGTTTCCAAACTTGGGAACAGACCTATTTTTAGTTGATAAATTGCTGACTGTACAACTCCTACACTAAAATCTATGTGTTGCAGTTTTTCCTGTGTCTTCTACAAATTTCTTCATGCAACATTAAGCTCAGAATTTATGCACTAGTCTCTTTAAACTACTTAATCCATGTTTCTATCTGAATCCCTCCACTTTCTTAAAAAGCTTCTGCACACCTATACTGACAGCTCAGGGTTTAATGCATTGTTTTATGACACAAAGATCACTCCACTAACATTATAAAAGGTAATACACTTTTATGAACTAAAACATTCATCTTTGGGCAAAAAGTCAAGGGGTTATTTATGGACCCCTTAAACGGAAATTTAAGGGGTTAAACGGAAATTAAACGGAAATTTAGACTACTCAACTAGTCTGAACGTATTCTGACACAACTGACATACAACTTTACTTTCATTTTCTAGATCAAAATACTGTAGAAGTGTTCTGTTTTACGAGATGTTATCTGTCCCACTTTCCACCTTGCTTGTTTACAACATCTGCGTATTAGCATGGGGGGTGGGGGGGGGTGGGCTGCTGCTGCCTGCGTATAATGTCTTAGATGCAACAGTTAACTGGCGTTGGACATTAATAACATGTTAGTAATTAGTTCAACCGACTAGTATTTCTGGTGCTGACTAGCAAGGGTAGCAACGTTCAATCATTTGACTAATAATACGTAACTCTAGTTTTATTTTAGGCCATCATCTATGACCTAAACTGATCATAAGAAGCATCGTGATTTGGCTTACCACTGTCCTAAATTATGAAAAAAAAATTTATTTGTCAGTCACCTGACCTTCATTATGGTAACATATATACCTGTATATATTTTAAGTTTCAGTAGGTCCTTCCCTTCATTCCCATGACCTCTGTACAGCCTCCAACTACCTCTCATGAGACTCATCTTTATCTGGTAAATTATTTTGCTATTTTGCTTTTTATTTTAAAACTTGATGTGGCAATCAGCAAATATCTTTCCTTCCTGAGTAAAATAGAAAGAGGAAGAGGCACAGGTAATGACTGAGCGGAATCTAAATTTATATCCAAGTGAGAATATGTCACAAGGCCACTTCATTCTGATAGTGTGCAGAGCAAAAATCTCCCCTAAATTGAATTTATATTCTGTCCTAAGTATCTCGGGCGACTCTGAGCAGAGAAGGAGGGGAGGATGGATTAATTTAAAAAGAGACTGGAGTGTTTTCTAATGCTGGAGGCCGGGGGATAAGGCCATGTGACGTGCAGAGCTGTACTACAGCCTAGGAAGCTTGTTGTGATTCACGCACACACGAATACACACACACACACACACACACACACACACACACACACACACACACACAGTTCCTCCTCCTGCCTCTATGCTTTCTTCATTCTCTCAGCATGGAGGGAAGAGCCTCTCAAGCTTGTAATTACAGCGATAAATCGCCTACAGCACACACTGTAGTCTCATCAACACACACACACACACACACACACACACACACACACGCACGCACACACGCACACAGGCGTAGTGTATGAAAATATACGGCACACTCTTTGCTCTGCTTTAGGTAGCAGGATAAAAAGACGGCTAAAAAAATGGGAAACAATCTTCCTGTTAAGCACCTTGCTAATGACTTCCAGCTCCACACAACAGTCAAGTCTGTCTGTCTGTTTTAGCAGTCATGTCAGAGGTTTTTTTTTTTTGGGGGGGGGGGGGGTTTGCATAAACCCATCTCATCACAGAGAGAGCGACTAAAACAGATTGAAAGTCAAATGCCAAAGTTAAGTGTTACCTCCTTTTAGAATTAAAAAAACAACACAGATGGAAAAGTTACAGTATGTTCAAAAATGCAAACATTAAAGAATTTATTCTCATGTGAATTTTCCCTACTTGACGAAACTTTTTTTTAAAGTGTCCCTGGCAGACAGAGATTTAGTGTGTTAATATGCTCAAAACTACAATTACCGCCTCACTGTGGTATGGGCTCCACTGACTCGTCAAGTTGCAGTTTACATCCATGTCTGTCCATATGATAAATGTAGTGAAGAGTCTGAAGGGATTTAATATAAACTATTAAGTGTATTTTATTATTATTAAAGTATGAATTCTTAAATTAGGGTTAGGGTTAGAAAAGACAAAAGACATGTTTTGCGAGGTTACAGTGATCGTGACCTTTGACCCTTGACCACCACCATCTAATCCGTTCATCCCTGAGTCCAAGTAAACATTCGTGCCGAATTTGAAGGAATTTCCTGAAGGTGTTACTGAGATATCACGTTCACAAGAATGAGACTGACGTCCATCTGTACAGACAGACAACCAGAAAACATTATGTCTGTGGCCACAGCTGTTGCCAGCGCATAGGCAGAACAAAATGGCAACAGTCATGGTTATACAAACAAAAAGAGACTGAAGTAACCATAGGAAAAGCCACCCCCAGCTCGAGTGTTGGAAGCATACCGACACCTTAACACACACAGATGGATAAGCCCTGGAGGTGAGGTTAATGAAAATGGACCTCCCAAAGTGTTAGACACTGAGGTGTCATCTTCCAAAAAGATACTAAAATGAGTCTCTGGATCTCTCCCATAGTCAGAGGAAAGGAGGCACAGAAGGAGACGAGGAGACAGAAGCGGCAAAAGAGATTTAAAAAAAAAAAAAAAAAGCAGGAAGAGTAAATAGAAGAGTACACCGAGAAGAGAGGCGCGGTGAACACAACACTGATTGCTGGGATAGCCAGGTGTCCTACCTCGTGATATATCGATGGCTTGGACAGAGATGGGATTGTGAAGGACAGGAGTTTGCTGTTGCCGTCTTTGTCCACGATCTCCTGCAAAAACCAAAGAGAGGGAGGAAGAGACAGAAAAACTGTCAATTAAAACAGCTGGGTACAAAATGCTCATTCAGGCTGAGAGTTGGTAAAAAAGATTTCTACCTTAACCCAGCTTAGCTCTTGTCTGTGAACTAGGTGAAAATATTTAGCAGCATACGGTTAACAACGGCTGTACAATCCCCCCGTCCCTCTCACTGCTGTTATTGACACTGACACATTGAAAGTCGCTGCCAACAACCTCACCACTCAATTTCAATTTCACACTGTGATACGTAACACAAAGATGAAAATGATGCCATTTCTAAAAGTAATGCCTGATTATCTCCACTAGTCGAAATGATAATCAAGTGTGTACACAGAGATAATACAGCTGAGCATTTTTCATTTGGCACAAAGTCCTTGTTGTTCCTACTCTTTGCTGTGTAAACCAATTATGTGCTGCTGAGGAGGATTCAAGTGTTGTGTAAAAGTCATCAAAGCAATTGTTTCTACTACATGTGAGGATGGCAGGCACTGTTAACTGATTGAGGGACACAGAAATATTTGTGTTTTCTCTCTGTGCAACATTTTTGGGTTTTTATCTCTATAATTTATGGCAGACGTGGGAGGGTGGGGGAGCTTTTGTTATATCATCAAATATGGATAAATTTACTTTAACTGAAATTGTTTTGTTTTGTTTTGTTTTACACAGGCTGCTCGCAGTGGTCAGATTTTTATTTTCTGGTAGAGCAGGGCCAATGAAAGTAAATGAATGCAATTCAAAAAAAAATAAATCTGTTTATCCATTCCCCCCCACCCAAGCATCCATAATCTGGGTGTTGAAATGTGGTACCAAAAAGGCTTTTATCCCTTTTATCTCCCATTTTCCCTGACATTCAGCGTACTGTTGGTTCAAGCCTCGTCCTGCCCTTCAGTGGCTAACTGTATATCTCTGAATATCTGATGGGACTGTTGAGAGCAAAGCTGTTTATCAGAGTTCAGTTGGCAGTGGCCATAGGCAGGAGAGGGCTATGAGCATGTACTGTATATATGTGTGTGTGGAGTAGTATGGATACAGAGGAATGAATTATGCATGGATATACCTTTAGCCGTGCCAGCTGACATGGAGCTCTTTCTATTGATATCTCTAGCTCTTAGCCCATTTCCCCAAGGGTGTTTCCTGGTGATGTAATCTATCCCGGGTCTATCCATTAACTGGGCTTTTCCCTGCAGATCGACTTTCTTGTCAAAAGACAAGCAGCCTCACTAATGCTCCACCTGTGTTAGGATAACCAATGATTTGCATATCAACACTCTGGTCTTTTCCAAATTAACAAAACTTTAAAGCTGCAAGAGCCACTCGCTGCCAACTTCATGGTTGTAAAAACAAATGTCATCAGATATGTTTCTAAGAAAAGCACTATGTTCTAACTTAAAACATAATACTTTCTATATTTATCCATACTGACCAGTAACAAATTACATCATGTAAACTATTATGCAGTTCTTAAGCTATGACACCAATGCACCTGATGAATAGGAGAATGAGTTGGGACAGTTTGGACAAAACAAGGCCCTCTTTGTCAACTGATAGCAGTAAAACAGCCACATCCCAGTTAGTCAATAGTCAGATCATTAGTTTAAAGAGTTAAGTTCAGCTGCAGGAATTTGGACACTGTGGCCGTCTCTGCTAACATTTGGGACCTCTATGATAAGTAGAAGCTGAATGATGCTCCTAATCTTTGCTTCTCTTGTAGGAGGGGGGGTCAATACTAATTTCCTTATTGTTTACTGATGCAGTCACTTTGCTGTTGCTATTTTGCCTCCCTCTTGGTAACCGCATGGATACTTTCAAATAAGGACGTGAACTGGCACACTAAAATATCCTTCATTGCTGGCATATTAAGAATTCACAAGGCAAAACCTCTAAAAGGTCATGCCATTGCCTCTCTCACCACCATCACCACCACCATCACCACACCCACAAGGGCTGACACCCACCAGGTTATAGATGCCCAACAGGAGGGCCTCAATGCAGCCATTGCTCTGGCGATCCCTGCTGGCTGTGACACGCAGATATACCCACACCAGCTCAGGCAGGAACTGCAGGGTGAAACGTCGCAGGCGGTCTTCGGAGCTCCGGTACAGCTCGAATAGCTGGTGGCAAACAGGCTCCAGCAGCTAGAGCAGGAAATATGTAAATACAAATGAGCACAGGTCAGACATATTAATAGAATATGCACTATGGTTATTAGGCTGTTCTAATAACTGGATATGAAAATTCAAAGATACATTTCTGTATATTCAGTGTAAAAATGGTCTGAGTCATCTATATTGTCATGCATTGTCATATTGTCAAGCCTAAATTTGACCTACATAACAAAAAAATGTATTTCAGATTCATCAAATGAACAGGATGACGAGAAGATATGATCCTGTTTTCTCTCATATGCAAAACTCTCAGTCTCAGCAGCAAGCGTTCCTTCAAGAGGACATTAAGACAGCACCTCTGCTTCACAGCTCTTATTTCAAAACATGAATGGATCTCATCCCGACTATAACAGGGAGATACGGACAGTTGGAAGGAAAGTTTTGCTGCCGGTCACTAGTGGGAGGCACGCAGGAGCAGAGGGGATAAATCACTACAATGAAAGTCTGGTCAGATGTAGTCTCAGGGGAGCCAGCTGAGCCAATGTGTTTATACCGTCCAGGGGTCAGTGAAGTGAGCGCCCACACAGCACTACTCTTGTGTGTGTGTTGTACTGTGGCCGGCCCTGAAATAAGTGGCAACTCATCAATGAATTTGGCGAGGCATTTGGCCCTCCGTGTCATGAGTAAAAAAAAAAAAAACAAACACTTTAACACACAGCAGTCAAGTATGACTTACAATCCCCCTCTCTCCCTCTCTATCACACAAACACAAACACACACACACACACACACACACACACACACACACACACACACACAAGCCCTCTCCTGGATCACTTGTCCAGTCATTAATGGGATTGTGCAGCCAGATTGACAACGCTAATGGAATTTAGATCCCTGGTTGCTTGACACCCAAATTCAACCATGAAAGAGCGAGGGAAAGAGGGGGGAAGAGAATTGGAGGCACCAACTGTATCATTAGAGTGAAATTAAAGTCCCGTCTCACTGAGTGCCTCAGGCCTTTGCTCGAAAAATTGTGTCATTAGGTCCTTTAAAGAGAAAATACTGGTCTAGCCCTGCTGGTATTGTGGTGTGTGTGTTGCAGTATGCCTAATAATAACCTGAGTTTGTGGCTAAGTACAGTACAGTATCTGTGTTTGAATCTATGCAACAAGCTTTACCAGTGTGGGCAGCAGATGTTCCAGTTTGTCAGAGTGGTGTGTGTGTGTGTGTGTGTGTGTGTGTGTGTGCGTGTGTGTGTCTGTGTGCATGTGGGTACGTGCGTGTGTGTAAAGGGAACACTGTGTGCCATCTCACAGGTAATGTGGCTAGCTCTGGCACTGCGCCCGTCCGTCATACTCTCCCAGAGCAATGTGTGCTTGTTTTTGTGTGCACATGTACTTGCAGACACAGCTGTGTGTCAGTTTCTTGCTCACTGCCAACGGAGACTACATCGTGTGAGTCACAAGCAACACGTTTCTTTGAGCTAAAAACAGCCATACTTGGGGCTCTAAGAAAGTGTAGGTGCCCTGTGTGTGCCCTGTGTATCACCTCATTGTTGGGGTCCTGAATGACTCTGTAGAGTGCCGGCACCAGGGACTTCTTTAGATGAAGGCTGCCGGCGTAGCTGGGGATGTGGGTTTCTGGTAAGGACTGGAGCAAAGAGAAAGAAAGGTTTACTGAGATATATGACACATAAGGTCTATGCAACATTTTCCCTTGCATCACTTCAAATAGTAATGGGACAACAATTTTAAATTAAAAAAAAAAAATAGCCTGGTTAGATCCCTAGGTGTGTACAAACTGCGCTGAGATCTGTGCTAACATTATGTAATTCCATAGCTCCTGTCAAGGGTTGTAACTAAAGAGTGTAACTGAAAACACCTGTCAACCATCATTCAGATGCAAATTCCTCATAGAGGAGACAGATACTCATTTCTCCACCAGCATCCGCCCAAACACAGCATCTTGTTGTCTACTGTCGGTCTATAGGAAACCACACGCTCTGCTATTACTATTGCTCTGTCCACGTCCTTGTAAGACCCACATGTAAATAGAACAAGTGCACACCCAAAGGTGTTTTTCACAGCAGACATTGTGACTTTCTGCAGCTGCAACATGACAGGTGTTTCTAATAACAGTAATAATGGCTCTGTTCTATTCAAAGAGTCCCAGTAAGTCATGACAGTAAGCAAGCATGAACAATACCAGGATCCTGGAGCTGAAGCAAGAAAATGGAATTCAGACATTTTATTATTTATACCTGTGCTTTCCCCACAGTGACATGCCAAACATTATTAGGGCATTAAAAAGCCCTGTCCTGTAAGGCAGAGTCAAAAGCATTCTGGGGAAATGTGGAGAAATGACTGACTGGGAAAGTCAATACGATCTGGTCAGTGAAAGTGGACACAAAAGGATCACAAAATAACTTTTTGAAGGCATTGAGCATCACAGAGTGATGATGTCTGACCAGTTCTTTAAATGATCAAGATTGCGTGTTTGTCTGCAGATGACAGAGGACTAAGATACACCCTCAGCACAGCCTCAGTGTGGTCATTTTGAGGACAGAACACAATGTCCCTGGTCTGCACAACTCACACCATGAGTCATACCAATCTATTTCCCTCACTATTCATCATACTCCCTCCTTTCTTTCTTTCACATTTTTTGCGCTATCCTCTGCCACCCCTCCCAACACACCACACGCTTATTTCACCTCTTTGACTTGTCTTCCCTTTGCACTCCCTTCATCACACACACATCATTTTAAATACGTCATGTACAGTGGCCAATTCAGGACTCAGACTCTGGGCTGAAGTCAGCTTTCATTAGTCTGACCTGTATGTTGTCATGTTTACCCCTGATGTCCACTGGAGGCAGCGGCAGTAGGTTCCAGTGTCTTCTCTTCAAGCAGCCATATTTCCAATATTTATCAGAGCTGCTGTATACACTTTTGCACCTGACTTACGGTTGGTAAGGTGACAGATACCTTGTAGCTGTACCTCACTTGTTTAGCTCAATACCTGAATGGAAACAATACTCCTGTCCTGCTTCACATTCTTTGAAGGAAAAGTGATATAAACAAGAAAAACTAGTTATGTGCCTAAAGACTAAGTCAAAACCTAATGAAATACATCATTAAATATTACATTTCTGTTCAATTTTATGTTTCAGACATGCAAGCTACTCAGTCAAAAATAGACCCGGTGCGTGAAGATAGCGCAGCGGAGAAAAGATCTGGTCATGCATCCAGCGGACATTAGAGGTGAGGTCAGACAGAGTGCTGGATAAACTTTGTCTGGCCTGCCTGCACTTTAGAATGAATGAAATATGGTGAAAACCACAGTGGAGAAAACATTAAACAAGATTGTGTTCTTGAATTAGACCTGGAAGTTACCTGGCCAGAATTAGGAACAGACAATCTACTGATATTACTGTATATATCCTTTTTCTTAAGAGGAAGTATTTGTAATATCAATGTCTATCCTGATGCATTTAAGAGGAAAACTCAGCACAACTCATAAATCATTATCCTATAACTTGATTGTGCATTTCACATTGTTATACAGCGCTCAGGCAACTCACATAAGCCTCTGAGTTATGAAGTAGTTAATATCAGCATGCTGTTACCAATGGCAGTTACCTGGAAGTACAGATGGTCTTAAATCTTTAACCAGGAAACCAGTTATCATTTCAGCATGTTTGAGTTTCAGTTTTGAGTAACTGAAATTGACTCAACATGACTGTTTTTGTCAGTTTCATCCATGATTAGCACTTAGGAGAAAGTTAGACAGCAGTAAGAGCATGATTTACACAGTGTATAGAATCTTAGGGATTACTGAAATGTGCTTGTGTGTAAAGCCTGTTCATACTTCACATGCCTGCAAGCAAAAACAAGTCTCCATTAAAGTGTGATGTAGAGTTTGATAAGGATGATTGTAAAATGTGTTTCACAGATTAAATCAAAGTGTGTCTGCTTGTGAGATGGAAGACCGAAAATGCTTTAGGTACAGTTCATGTGTAGCCTGAGCTTGAAAAGGACAAAGTACAAACAGCTTACACTGATGAAAGCAGAGCTGACCCTGAGTCTTCACTGTCCTAAAATGATTTTACATGGTTTTTAAATTTACAAAGGACTGAAATATAAAAGAGGTGACATGCACACACTTGCACACTCCACACTCTTTTTCATCAAAGTTGTTAAACCCCCACAGTGTGTGGTATCTGTGGCCTCCAAAGAAGACCTCCACTGAAATGCGTCACGATGGAGAACAGAGGGGCGACTTTACCTTGAATTCTGAGAGCCATTCTTCGACAACGCCGCGCTCTGAACCCAGCATCTTCCTCAGAGACCCCCCCTCGGCTGCCTGGTGAACACAGAGAGACGGAAAGCCGGAGGGAGAGGGGAGATGGGAGATATAGTGAAAAAAAAGGAGAGCAGAGATTGTGAAAGAGGAGGAGACATTGGAGGCCATTCACAGTGAGCACTTCAACATGTCCTCGCAATGACATGATGAAGAACTATACAAGTGTTTTTCCATGTTTGAGCCTATTTACGTCACAGCCCATATACTTCACTTAACATTATATCAAACCATTTTAGAATTGTTTGTCAAGTTGTTTGTTTTTTGTTATTTCAGAATGCGTTTTCTCAACTAAAAATGCAACCCTTTTCCTCTGCAGTTCATTATGCTGTGCAAATAACATGCAGGGACTTGAAACTTGCTTGGCATTCACAGTGAACAGTAAGTTTACTTTTTTAATTTATGCAGGTTAAAGCCCAATCTGGGTTCCTATGCAGAGACGGATGAGATGGCTCTAGACAACATCCACATTTCATGCCACGTGTCAACATATTTGGCAGTTGACCCTCAGTCTTATTTGATACAACTGCCCACAAGCATATGAATATGCCACCCAAGAAAATTATTCAGATTGTCCTGCGATAATAATGGCATTGCAAAGGTGCACAAATTTACAGACAACAGATAAAAGTAATCAAATGTTAACTGTGCAGGACTGCCAATTTTAACTCTCAGCATTTTAAAGTAAATGGAAACCATGGTCCCTTAATGCCTCTGAGTGTGGGGGCTATGATACTGGCCACACTATTGCATAACAGCTCACTTCAGTGACCCTACCTGTCACCGTGGATGTGAACAGCCAAAGACAGTCACATGGGCTTTCACTTGACAATTCAAAAACTCTTTTTTTGTTCCTCGCCACTTGTGAATTCCAATGAAATCTTCTGAAAACAGACACAAACCCCCACAAGGCAACTAAACACCAACCTTATGGACCTGGCAAAAAGGCAAAAAACTAACAATAAAAGCGCTCATTAAATAAAAATTACATAAAATATAAGTGCTCTTATGTTTATGTGCTTTACAATGCCAGGAAGCTCAGATCTCATTTTTCTGAATGTTAAAGTACAGTTTTGATATTCATAATAAATCAAGAGAGATGACTCACAAAATAGCAAATTTAAACAAATATATTCTGATCTCGGGTTTTAGGCACACTGTAAAATTAACTTCAGCAAACTGCCTCATCCCATGGAAAATATATTGTCATTAATTATCCCGTAGAAGGTTTGCTATGAATGAGACATGTGTCTCAGCATGTGTCTGAGCAAGTGTTTGTATGTGCGTGTGTGTGGGTGTGGTTTGATGGAGCAGGAGCAGTCACAGGCTAGGCTTGGGTGATATCCTGAATTATATCTTGATACAGTCCATTCCAATATATATGTATGAATTATATTTATGTTTCAGGTAGCAGCGATGCTGTCACTAAAGAGCAGTTCAAAGTTTTATTTGTCACATGCCAAGGTACAATGTACAGTAAACAAAGCAGTGAAGTGAGGGTTGAACTCTGCAGCAGGGCAGACTGTGCATAACTTTTCATTTTATGAAAAATACTGCAATATTCAATATCATCGAATATCAGCCCAAGCCTTTCACACGCTCCAGTGACAGTTTGGATACAGACTGTAGGTTGCCAAAATGAGAGAAACAAATGATTCTTATGGAATGGCAGATGTACGCTTCAGCTCACCATAGCAGACCATCCTCTCACTATCTGACACCAACACCCTTCACCAAAGACTGACATGACTGAGCTACCGTCACAAACCTTTAGGAGAGCCAAAAGCAGAGGTTAAGAGCAAGAACCAGGTCTATGCAGGCCACAGGGCTGAGTAAAATCTGTAACCATCCACTCTGACTCAATGAAAAACATTGACTTTATAATGTTTTTCATGAAAACTGAGAAAAAATATTGAATTGCAAGGCAAGCAACCCTGAGCTACAATTTACAACCTGTAAACTGCTATTGATGTCTTTAACAGCAACTTCACAGAACTGGCCTGTATTGTAAATTCCTTCAGATGAACAGAATCCCTGACTCAACAACAGGTGGTGAATGAGTCATGGTCACTATGTAGTCTCTCCCTGACAGCAAGAGCCAACAATTAACACAACATCCATCCTCACCATGTGCCATACCTTATCTAAGACAATGCTTGAAGTTTGTGCCATTGTCAATGACTCTGACTCAGAGGACATTGCGCAATTGTAAAAACTCTTTGAAAGTGTGTCAGACATGAGTTTGGTTTCTTACTTCAGTCACCTGTGCTCAAATACAACAGTGCATGAGCCTTTCGCCTTGGGAAAAAAAAAGCTGTGGCCCATAAACTTGTTGTGGTTTTGACTTGATGAGATTATGGATTAGGACTAACTCAATAAATTCAAAGTGGGAAGATCCCACTTAACATTCCTGGCTACAGCCTTTGCTGGCTGACTGTATGGTATTCTCCTACAGCTAGCATTCTTAGCCACACACTTTAACACATTTCTCTTTTCATCAAATATGGTAGATGTGATGTTCAATTGTCATAATTAAGGGACTATCATATCACATACAGTATACAGTCCAGACAAATGATATCTAGAGACTCCACTAAAGTGGTTTGCAATGAGCCGTCTCATCACTGTTTGCCCTCACACTGTGATTATAAGCAGCCACGACATTTATGTCACAACCTAAGATTTGATCAATTCCCTTTGTCTTCCTACCTTTTGTTCCTCCCTTTGGCACAAAAATGTGCTCCCACAGCATGCGACATGTGACAGAATAGTGTCGTAAATAAACTCATTGCAGCTGTATCTGGGTCAGCGTCCTTGGTTAACTTTCTGACATGTGCAAGTTAACAGAACCAAACTCAGACCACGGAGATTATGCAGACAGCCACTTAGAGAGTGAAGAAGTACAGTCACATGAAACTGAGGATTCAACAGTAAAATGCTGTATGTGTGCAAAATTGGGAATATGCACACACACATGCACACACACACACACACACACACACACACACACACACTTTGTCAGATTTAGCACCCACTGCTTATAAGATGTTCACACACTGTTCCTTTTTGTAAGCCCCAAACAGTGTCAAACTGTGTGCATGTGCACAATCCTAATGCTCTCTGCTACAGTAAACCATAATGTCTACACACCCCTATTTAATCTTATTTGGTGCGCCCAAATCATTGCAGGACTGGAAATTAGCACAAGCTCAAAGCGGTTCCAGATTTACATATCTGTTTTGTAATGTTTCTCGCAGTTAACAGAAAATACCACACTGAAATATAAAACAATAACTGGTACTAAATGAAGAAAAAGTCATAATGAAAACAGTTTTCAAGGCCTGAACAGAAATTTCACATGTTCTTAAGGGATTAAGACATTGGCATTAATGGCATTAAAAAAAATGCCATTCGATTTTTTCAATATTAACCTTTTATTTTATCATTATTTTATTTAAAAGCCAACTGCTCATATCTCAACTTCTGTGGTGTGACTTGTTCAAGACAGGCAAAACTAGTCACTTGACTTCTGTTTTATAATTTAAAAGTGAAACGTTGAAGTACTGATAAATTGTAGTAAAGTAAGACTTTCATTCAGAGAAAAAAAATGTATACTTGGACTGCCCACTGTACCCTGCAACATTTCACTCCAGTATTTCACACCAGTGTTTAAAGGTTACCATGATACACAAGTCCCAAATAAAACCATGCATGACTCCCTGAATGGTGCAGATAAGCCTGAAAGTGTTATAAAACAGGCTTAGAGGAGCAAGATATCAGATTTGCTGTTGGGTAGGAGGAGAGACAGTGATCATGTTCACTGCTCAGAGCAGATGACGATCTGAACAAGTGGAATCTTTTTGTGGGCGCACACTATTTCAATCTGCGTGAATTGAAAAGCTCCATTTAGTAAGCTTGTTCAGCTCTTCATGAAAGGCTGACTCATTCATTTCCTCTGGCTTGTCAAACTGTCAAAAACTCACTGAAGTAAAATTCACCATTGGCAGGACAGGCTTATCGGTTGCCATGGGAACTGTAGTCAAGTGACTTTCAGGCAATATTGCACAAACATAGTCACAATCTCCTCTTCCTGAGTGAGCACACTGATTAATGGCCAGCAGTGTTTTTACAGATCATTAGGATGTCACAGAGAAGTTGACCTCTGACCGTTTAGATATAAAATGTCATCTCTTCATCATTTTGTCCTTTTAGACATTTGTGTTATATTGTGTCATAATTAGTGTATGAATTCTTGAGTTATGGCCAACAATGTGTTTTGTGAGGTTACAGTGACCTTTTTACCACCAAAATCTAATCAGCTCATCCTTGAGTCAGAGTGAATGTTGGTTGTCAAGACTACACTGGGATATCGCATTTTTCCTGACAATAACATTTTTCATAACTGATAATGACAAACAATCAACCTATATATTCTAAAAAAAATAAAATAAAAAATAAATAAATAAATAAATAAATAAATAAATAATAATAATAATAATAATAATAAAATAATAATAAACATGGAAGACTTAAGAGAACTTGGTCCACATCTTAAATGAGCCAAATGTTTCGACAAACATGCAGGTAAAACAATCAGCTATCAGTGATGTTTGCCTCAACAGTTAACACTTAACATCATTTGGCAAAAAAGGAAAAGTGCATCGCTAAACATGACTGTTGTTGACAGATGAAACGAGGGCTGTAGAAATGAACACTACAGAGACTTTATCAAGACAAAAGGGTTTGCATTAACTGTGGAAATTAGAAATAAAGGTCTTTTCCTAATATAAGCCTGTCCCAGTCTCTGAGACTGAGGTAAACTATTTGAGACTTTACAGCAGTCAGAAAATACGTTTAAAACAATGGAAATTGATTTTTATAGGCAGAAACCAAGAAATAGAAAATAAGAGCTTTACAATTCAGCTGTTCATAAGTACCAATAAAATACAAAACATGAGGCAGTTTGAGAGGATCATTATTAACCTGTTGTATTTACCTCAGTATCCCAGAACTCAGATCTCCACTGGGAGAGGCAAATGGTTCTCCGCACTGTCACACATCTGTCACTCACTGACGGTCACCTGCAACAACAGGGGGAAAAATGATCCATGAATATGATCATCATAGAAAGGACTGTCCTAAGAAAAAAAAAATTTAAATTAAAAAATACTTTAACTGCATTTATATAGCTTAAACATCAGTACTCTTCCAGCATGGCAGTCAGACAAACAAGTATGAACACTAGAGACAAAACTCACTGCAGTCTTGGGGCGTGGCTTATTTCAAACAAGAAATTTAAACTATAATATATAATAAAGATAAATAAGATTATATAAGAAAGATAAATACGATTACATAACATAATATTGTCATATGTCATATCATTAGTTAGCAGCAAAAAATATTTTGCCTAATGTGTGTTCCTTTCCTGAGTGAATCAAAACGATCGATTGCTTTTAAAGAAATTACAAATAAACTTCAGGGCTGCAACGAGCTATCATTTTTATTATTGACTAATCTGCCAATTATTTTTTTTATGAATTGTTTGGTCTTTAAAACATTAGAAATAGCTAAAAAAAAAAATGCCCATCACATTGTCCTAGAGTGCAATGAGGCATTATCAAATGTCTTCTTTTGTGCAAAAACACAACCATTCAAAACCCAAAAATATTTATATATTTATATTTACCATGATGTAAACCAAGAAAAACAGCAAATTCTCACATTTTAAAATATTTGGGCTACTTGTAAGTTTTCTCTTTCGCCAAGCGTGGTTACTTGCCAGGAGCAAGGTATTTGTCGCTTGACAAGAGCTTCGGCCATCATGCTACTTCTTCAGGGCAAATTGAAGGCTACAGTGAGTGGCTATTGGGAAGTGACAAGACAGGCGGGGGCTAGCTGGTTAGCTAACTTCAGTAGAAGAAAAGATGTGATAGAGACAAGAGTTGACACATTGGTGTTGCTTTCCACCGCTGGAGACAGCTCTTGGTGAAGAAAAGAACTTGCAATGTTTCTTCTAGACAGGTAGGTAAACAGCTGTTAATGCTAACTCTGGCTATGTAGCAATAGTAAAACTCACAAATAGGTGCTTTAAATGATTAATCAATATTCAAAATAGTTGCATCTGAATTTTCTTTTGATTGGCTACTTGATTAATCGACTAATTGTTGCAGCTCTAGAAATAGATGGCTTAGAAGTTTATTTGTAATTCCGTTCAAAGTGTTTCAAAGAATGGTTCTGAATCAATCTTACTTTGTTGAGAGAGGAAATTCTACAGGCCAACAAACAACATACATGACAAATAATCTGTCAAGACAATGAACAAAGCAGCTGACCACATAGAGACTCAGTAACCAACAGATGGTTGCTACAACAGCATGACCCTCCACTAAAGATGCATAGTTTTAACATTATAAAACATGATGTAGAGACGCCTTACTAACAGGCATTCAACAGGCAAACAAATAAGATGCAGTTTTTGTTTCATAATGGAAACTGTGCATTTCTTTTTTCTTTTTTTTAAACAAAGACTTTGTTTTAAAGGTTATTTTGAGTCATGGCACAAGGAGTACATTTTCAAGTTCCCTGTTGTTGCATAGCAACAGTCAGCTGGCCAACTTGTTGTCCTCGGCTGCTAAAAATGCATCTTGAAGATCCACACCCATAGTATTTACTGTATTTGGCAGAATGAATGAAGGCCTCAATGACACACAAGAAGATGCTGTAGAGAGTTTGTTCTGCACTGCTGCATGTCCCTGAGAGGCAGACAGTGCCATATCGCTGAGCACTGCATTTGATGTTCAGTGTTTGCAACACAGCCTTGTGTTTACCTGAAGGACCCTTACATTAGTAATTCATCACAAAGTGTCGAGGAAACTACCATGCAGAGGTCCCATCTGTCTAAGACTATGCGTTTACCCTCGCTATCTATTGAAAGCTGCAAAGACGCTATTTATTTTCATTTGCTAGATAAAGCCTACTCGTTGTGTGACTCATAAAAAGCAAGGGGAACAGTGGCCCTAGGTTGAGTGAAGATAGCAAAGGGAGGGACTATGAATAAATAGTACAACACAAACAAGATCTGCAACATGCATAGATTGCATGTCAGATGACAGAGTGATGTCACATAAAAATAAGGTTTGAGAGGGAAATATCTTTAATTCTTTAGAGCAAGATACCACCACAATAGTCCCCTTTATATGTGATCAACCTCATGACTGTATGTCATTCACTCTATATCAGCGGTCCCCAAACTTTTTTCAGTGGGGGCCACATCAACTTTCCTTTCTGAGATGGGGGGCCGAGGTTAGTCTATAACAGGAAATGATATGGGCCAGGGTGACAACCAGTATTATTGTGGAGATTACAATGATAATTTGTTGTAGCTGCCCTTCGTTTGGCTTTGGCACCACCTGTTGATTTGGCAAAAAAAAGTAATAAAAAGTCTTCACATGTGTTATTTTGAAGTACCACAGATACTCCATTTATTTTTTGGGGGGGGGGGGGGCGCCGGGCCGCCAGGCAGCTAGCTCTGCTTGCTGGGCGCAATGGCTGTGCCGGGGGGGGGGGGGGCGCCGGCGGGCTGATTCTAGCTCGGAGAGAAAGGCTTGGAACTCCTGTGGTTTAAGTCCGTTTGCTCTGATGAAGTTTATGCAGGACACAACCACCTTCATGACAGATTCCCACCTCAGAACTTTGCAGCTTGACGCTGGCTCGGTCACGATCAAAGTCACGTCAGAATATACCATTGTGTGAGGAGGTGAAGATGAGCCACTATTAACTATAAATAGCTCATAACTATGGTCAATTTTAATTAGAATGCCAACCTTTAAGTACGGATATGTTATGATGTTATGATAGGAAAATGCAATTTAATAAAAATTGGTTGATGTTTAGAGGGATTGTCTGGGATAGTTAAGTGGGCCACTCCAATTGCTTTGGCGGGCCGGATGTGGCCCGCGGGCCGTAGTTTGGGGACCCCTGCTCTATATGGTAGAAATTATAGTATGTCTCAAACTGAGGGTGGGCCCATGATATATATATTGGGGCAATATAAACATGGATATTTCTTCCAAGTTCATCATGGTAGCTGCCCCTTTAATATCTCTGAGTATATTAGGCCACTGTGGGCAATGTTGCAAGTCAATGAGCTGGACTGCCTCATGGCAATACTAGATTTTGATAAATTTTTGCATCAGTGTAATGAAGTCCTGTTGGGTTAGCTGAAAACTGACAATCCATGCGGTTCTTGTAATATTAACAATTCTTCACAATTCCTCAAGTGATTTCTCAGAAAATCTATTATACTGTGATATGGATAGAGGATTAACTCCGTAATGCCAACACGAGCACGGGAAATTTTACAGGGGTGATTTTCAACTGAATGAAATGTTTTGTACAGCACTGTGGTCTGTGTCATGAATCTTAACTTTCAAATCTTATAACAGCATGGCAAGTAGATCATAAGTATGTAAAGAAAATATACACAGTGTTTTTTCTTCATTTAGCTTATAAACTTTTTTCACCAATTTCTGTGTATGTATTTTTAAAAATGTATTTTTATTTTTCATTATTATTATTTTTTACAATAAATGTATTAGATATCTTTAATAAGTCTGTCCCATTGTCTATGACTGTTGCTGACTCCTGCTTTACCAGGCAAGTAAAAGAATTATTTCAACTGCGGGGGACTGGTCTTGTTGCACATGTCAGACAGCATTTTGTAGGTGCTTCAATTCATATGGTATGAGATAAACTGACTGCAATGTAACAAAAGTAGATGCATCTTCTTCAAGTCAGTAATTCCAAAAGGGCTTTTGCCTTATGCCTAATCTATAGGGTAGAGTTTCCCCATTAGATCCAACACAAAAGCCACAGTATTGACGTATAACTACTGTAAGACAGAGACACAATAAAAATCTAACTATGGCTGGTTAACAGGAATAAAAATGAAACAAGAGAAATGAAAATCCATTCTGGTAACAACAATGTATAATTAGCTGGAACTGTATTGAGGAACTATAGTGTAATTAATCTCCACTCTTCACTCACCTCATTCCGGTATTTGCGTGTGTAATAACAACAGCGCTCTCTGGCCAGCCGTCACTGTTGGCTAAATATGTCATACACCTAATGAGGCCTGGCGAATGACAATAACTAAACTTTCCTTCAAGGGCTGCTCTTCCTCTATGCAGGACCTCCTCATTGTGCCGTGGCGGACCTCACAAGGGAATAGGAGAGTGCCAACCCATCCTGTTTACGGCACTTCAAACCTCAAATCACAATGACATTGCTAGACACGCTGCTAAATGGCGCACAAAGTTGAAACAAAGCCGACAAGTATATTTTGTGCATTGAGTTTCAACACAATATGTTCCTTTGAATTTGAAATCAGGCAATGGTGAAGCTTCCCCGAAAACAACAGATTGTTACAATTATTAAAGCTAGTACTAATCCTTTATCATCACAATTTTACCTTAGAACTACATTCAGAATCACAGTGTCTCTATAACACTTGCAGCAACACATAAACACAACCAGACCTTCATGAATGTAAATCTTAACTCCAGAACTGCCCCATTAAGACCGGAGTGGCTAGGGTTGACACCCGGGACATATAATACGGGATTGTCCCGTATTTGAAAATAAAGTGCTGCGTCCTGTATTAAATATATTTTGTTCATGTTATGTCCTCAAAATGCTGTGAATAATGTAACGTCAAGTAATAATTTTGTATAATCTTCCTGGGACTTTAGGTTGCGGTGGAAACGCAGACAACAATTGGGCCACAGGAACCTTTTAGCTCGTTAGGAAAGTACCTGGAACTTTAAGTACCTTAAAGTACCTGGAACTTAAAGTTCCAGGTACTTTTTGGTTAACATTTTTCTGTGCAACAAAAGTACACTATTGTCTTATCATTTGTCCAATCTACTCCCTGGACTGAGCAAAAGAAAGGGAAACAAGGCTGCGGACATGTTTGTGGTTCTGCAAGGCCTTACTTAGATACAGCAGTGCATTGAGCTAAATGTTAATGGCGGCATGCTAACATACTCATAACGACTGTTCAGTGTCTTAGTTTAGT